TGCAATAGATATTGAAACTTTTTGCAGGAATTGGGTCCGCAGAAGTTCGAACAAAATTCGACAAACTTTGCACTTTCCCGGTTATAAACTTTGCCCGTGTGTCTGGGTTAGGGAGACCCGAAATATCCAAATCGGCAACCATGCATTATGTCAAATTGCAGGCAGATTGCAATCAGTCAAATTGCAGGTGCATCAATGAAGCTGGATTTCAACTAAACTGAAGGGAGCTATCAGAACCTGAGAAGGTAGTGGTCTGTGCAATACCTGGTGTATGTATAGTGTTTGTGCAATATCTGGTGTGATATAACCGATACCGTCCGTCTGGCGCTGTCTGGAGGTTGATGGGAAAAAACAGCATGGGCAATAGCTACCAAGATAAACCAGTATTGACTTGACATGCAATGGTCTCAAAGGCATCTACTGCATTATGCCATGCACATGTGTATCAAGTTGAAATGAAAATAGACACATGCTATGATGCAGGTCGCGAGTTTTACCAGTGCAACACAAAGTGTGTATGCTTTTTCATAGCCGATATTACTACCAAAGGATAGATTTTTAAAGCTGTGTTGAGGTAGCATGGTACTGTTTTCTCAAAAGTGAGATGGAGAATGAATCACAGAGCACTAACTCACCCCGAGCAAGGCTGAGAATGTGTAGGTTCCCAGTGCACATCATTCTTGAAATCTACCGATTTAAGCACAGTACTCTGTGCACACAGTATAGTACACAGTCATTTGTATTCACATTTTGATGATGATGAGCTCTGACAATTCTGAAAACAGAGAGACCCAATATATGTAAAGAGACCCAATACATGCGATATTACGCTGCACATTTACCCACCCTGACAGCAGTCACACACGTGTAGTCAACGCTATTCGCTCCACGCCTTCCTGAACCCATCGTCGTTCCGGCCAAGGGGCTCAACGTGGTTTGCAACCCCCCCCCCCCCCTCCACCGCACGAGTCCAGATCAACGAGCACCGAGGCCGGTCGGTCACGAGGCGTCCATGGGACTGTCGGCCGCGCTGCAGTCGGCGCCTTCCTCCGGCTGCTCCTCATCCAGCATCTGCTGCAGCTGGTGGATGGACGTCACCAGCACGTGAAACTGCTTGCGGCGCATCTCCAGCTTGGCGTCGAGCCCGTCCTGGCAGGCCTGCGCGCGAGACAAGGCCCACGTCCGTCAGCTGGGCGGAGCGGACGCCGACAGCAGCGGATGCTCCACAGGACCGCCTGATCGCCACAGCTCGCCGCTCACCGTCAGCCGCCCGTGCAGCCGGTCAAACACGTTACGTTACTTTTCCGTAACGAAACGTGTTAAGTTGCCTTCAGCAATGGCAACTTGCCAATGGTAAACGCTGCCAGCGAAGAGTCATAAGACGAAGACCACAACATGAATATTAAGTTTCCCAATCAAACCGATGCATGCACACCTCGACTGGGTTTCGCTGGGCTCGTCAGCCCACTGGCCGTGCGTTCGTTGGTAATGCAGGGCCGACTACCATGCCAGAGGAGCCACACTGAAACTTCACCTGCATCGACTGGAGCTCGGCCTTCAGCTCGGCCAGGCGCGCCTCCGTCTCCTTTCTGTCCGGCTGCTGATTGATGACTTTGGCGAGTGCGTCGTACTCCATCCGGTTCCGACGTATCTGCACAAAAATTACCAGAAACAGCTCGAACAGGTACAAAAAATCCAAGATTACATGACTGACTAACGTTTCGGAACGGAGCAAGAGCATGCGCGCCACTCAAACACGCCATTATCAGTTGTTCTATATGCCAATTAGTCGCGAAGTTTCAAACAATCTATTACGGCGATACCACCCGTGCCTTTGTCTATCTTGTCCACACATTGAGCACATGTACACAAGACGTTACCGAAACTTTTTGTTCAGGTATGAATTGCACGACTAACGGAAATGTCAAACGTGTGCTGACTATGAAGACTGTACCTGTTTGGCTTTGTTTAGCTCCTCCTTCGCCTGAACTATTTCAGCTTTCACCAACTCTGTGCCCGAGTCGATCTGCTTGTAAAGCGTCTCATAGTTTTCCAGCTCAATGGCATTCATCTTGCATCCTTGCTGTGATTTGGCGATGGAGAACTCACACTGGCTCAGCTGGGACATCAGTCGCTCGTAAGTAAGGGACCTGAAACCAGGGAGACACCCTGTACCATACACAATATATACATGCATACATGTACATGTGTGTGTCAACACCAAACCATGGGAAATGGCATGTGACAAGGGATGTGCTTAAAATCTGTTAAAGAGAAGCAAACCGTCCGCACTGTTTCACGAGCACACACCAGCAGGTGATAGTCACTAGCATTGCCACCACAACAGAAGAAGAAAACATTAGCCTGGCATGTCTGCTTCTTCTGTTCATATGAAACATTTAGGACATCAGTAATTTCCACATGTTGTTTCAAGTCAACCCTATAAAACCTTCTGCTTGGCAAAATTGGGTTCAACTATCAAAATTCCCCGACACTAGTTTAAAGACTGGTGGCAGCATACCTAGGACTGTCATGATCATGAGAAGTAGATTCAGGCACAAAAGAATGGCCAGCAGTGTCTGAAGTGGCTTGAGACTAGTAACAAAAGTAGTGGCAGTATACCAAATGCTGGACAAAATAATGGAACTACGATTCAAGCACCTAAGACTGACCCACAGTGTACAAAGTGAGGAAAAAATAATGGGCAGGGCACACACCCTTCATCTCCTGATGCATCATCAGACATTGCCCACTTTGTGAGGTTCTTCAGAAACATGTTCAGCCGTCGGTCATCTCCCGTTCCGTCGCCGTCGATCATCAGCCGACGACGGATCACTTCCTCTGTCGGGCAGACCCAGTCAATCACCCAAGAACACAGATAGCTGCATAGATGCCTCAAAATACTGCAATGCCAAAAGAGCTCACCTAAAAACCACACCATGATGGGGTAAACACAAGCTTGGAAACATTTCCACTTAACATGGGCGGTAGAGCATATTGGTAAGTTAGCAACACTGTCACATGCCAATGCTCATCTGTCAATCATAATTCAAGATTGGAGACATCACACCAGGCAACATGTGAAGCCACATGTCATAATTTTGACCAGCAGCCATATGAAGAGACTTTAAGCACCTCTTGTCATGCATGGGCACAAGGTCCGGCTTCTGATATCCAAGCTGATCCTTCATTTTTCAGTTGATGAGACCTTTCACAAATCATAAATGTTTTCCAATTCCCCATGATCAGTCATACTGTATGGTCATCTGATACCATAGAAGGAAATAAAATCATGTCAACTAATGGAAAGTTATTTTATAAAACAAAGGATGATTGCGAAATATTTAGCACTTTGCAGCATGGCTCCACATTCAAAATAAAATTAAACAACAATTCATGCATATTTACAAGTCCTATCTGGTGTCACACAGCTCATTGTTATGCTAGGCTCCATTCTTGAGGTAATGTAGTAGAAACTATGCACATAAGGCATATTTGTTTGACTTCACATTAACATGTCAAAGGTCACATCACTGGTGAGTTACTGCCAGTGCATCACCCACCATACAAAGTGACATAATATGAATATCCATGCTGTCAAAGTACCCTTAGCTGGTACAGTTGACAGTGACTTAAACTAACTTATATTGTCATATGGTTTTACCCATCACACCTAAAGGTGATGCTAAAAAACTTATCTTGCAAAGTCCAGACAACCTAAAATAGGTCATCACATGCTATGCAATGCTGTTTTCAACTATCCCTAGCATCTTGCATGTATGGCTATACAGCTAGCTGGTGAGGGCCTGATGCCTGAGACCTCATATACAAAGGTACATATGATGCCAATCTGGTGAGGACTGGACTGTTTTCTATAGACAAATATCATTGTGGTCTCAGCCTCCAGCTGTCAATAAGTTGTTAAGCAGGAAATGACCTACAGGATATAGCTGTCTAGGAGACTACTTTGACCTTGGCATATACCACTATAAGAAGACCCACATGGAAGACAAACCACCACAATTGCAGGGGCCTAACAGAGGCCTCTGTTGCCTGTGCGCATGTGGGCCAGGCTGCAAACATACACATGCTAAGCAGTGTTTCAAGGAATTCTAATGTTAAAAACACTATATATTTCCACAATACTTTTTCAATCCTAAAAAATGAAATTCAAGGCAATCTTGCCTGACCTGAGTCCAGCACATGCAGGCATAATGTTCAAACTACTGATGCTATATAGGCATCTGAAGCAGCAGGTGAATATTTTGCAGACTAGCCTGCACCCAACTCAACAGTATATAATGGTTAAAAACCACATTATCCCACAGATACCTCAAGCAAGCCACCACAAGTGTGCCAAAATTCCAGCATTAGTGCAAAAAATTACAGGCTTTTAGCAAGTACTGAAAATTTTGAACAACTGACATGAAATAAAGAATTTTGAGTACAGAAAACACTGGGTTTTCTCACAAAACTACAAAACAGTCCCATGCAAGGAATGAAAAAGGCTGCTTCAGTTCCTTAAACACATTTTAAAAATTATCTACACACACCCTTAACTTCAAACTAACCACCACAGTATCACGATGCGAACGTAAGTTCAGAGAAACACGACGATACTCGAGTGGTCGAACAAGCGGCCTTTACACACAGACGACACAGACACACGAGCATACCAAATATGCTTACCGTCAGACATGACACACGAATGAATCCGCTATGTAACTTGTCGATGACGACTGATCCACGAACACTTTCAGCTAGATATGACAAACTGCGGCCTCCGCCGGCGACATCCACGGTCACGACCCGATACAATGTAGCGTGAGCGCAAGTTTGGTCAACAGAGCATATCGGGGACCTTTATAATTGTTTAATTTAAGGTACTTATTGGTAGTGTTAAAAAGGCACATTTTGAGGTGCCTTTTTGAGTGGATGGATTTTTGGGACCAGAGCACTTATCCGGTTTTGCTACAGCCCATGATAAGCAGGCCTTGTTATGTGAGCCCTGACCGCTAATTCCGACCATGCAATTGCAGGTCAGCGGCATAATTTGGTGACGAGATTTTAACTTGCCATGTGTATTCAAGATGGAGTGTCTGCTACTAAGGTATTTTTTATGGATTGGAAAGCAACGATGTAGTAGTACAAGTACAAAAACCCTCTTTTAATTAGGTAACCTGGAGATTTTTCCATTGGCATCTACTTGAATCAATTAGTAGTCATGTCTATCAATCCTGTGCCAAAATGTTGGCGCGTTGTTTTCAAAGCAAAGTTCACGCGCTTCTGCAGGACGAGTCACGCGTGACTGGTACGTGGTGTGTTTTGGGGTACTTGAATTTAATCTGGATGGGTGTAGATGTCAGCTGTCGAGCGTGGTTATCGTGCTTCCATTCAAGCTTTCTCGTACGCTAGTGTCCGTGGCTGATTCCTGCACCTTCGCATTAGGAGTTATCAAAAAGGAAAGGGTTTAATGGGAGACGGAGCGCGCATCTATGTGCCATCGAAGTCACAGTCGGCCAGCGAGTCTGTGTGGCGTCGGTTACCTCTCACCCCGATAGAGCGCCTTTAGCAGAGAATTAAAGACCATTTATCTGGCATGACCACAGCATTATTGGTACCCAACCTTGTTGAGAAATGACATTAGATGTGTGAGTGTAGTTTTGCCAAAGTTGATAGAGGCTAAACAGGGGAAATAGCCAAAACCGCCTCCAAAATAATCCGGTAGTGTGCTTCTTCTCAAATTGGATGACCTGGCAGAGTTGGGGCTAGAATATTTAACTGAATGGGGAACCACCTGCACCTTGTGACAGACAGAGGACCACTGACTTGGAAATTACCTCATGAACATGCTGATGTTGACATTATGTTCTGCCAATAGCAATATGTAATGTTTTTTAGGTTGTGTGCAAGGGCATTCTATTTGAGTTTGGGCACATGCAATGGCATTAACATTACAGGATGAGATGATGGATGACATGGGTGTGGCATTTACTCAGGATTACTCAGCTTACAAACTTAGATGTATTAATAGGCATGGGGAAAAAGGTAGGTGGAAAAAACTGCTGAACTAAGATAAACACACAAATAGGTTGATTGAGGCATGTGATGTTATACACAAGACCATGCTTCCTTTGAGGGTTTTTCTGTGAAAACAATTTGGAATCTTGTCCCAACTTTGCACAATTGTACATATACATATGGGCCAGGATGTCATACATGACCAGAATAAAACTTTAAACTTTAATAAAACTTTAATAATAAAATAAAACTTAAATAAAACTTTTGGGCTGTTGCATAGCATTCCTATGGGTGCAAAGTGAATACGTGTTTGCCCTCATGAGCACAAAGAAGAATGAAAGGATGATTTTAGGTGGGAAATGAATAGGGCATATGGATATCAGATTCAGTTCTAAGCATGATATTTGATAAATGTTCCCAATGTTTTAACCATGAGAAGACTTGGACTTTTGGATTCCCCCTTGCTCCCCCCCCCCCCCCCCACCCTTCCTGCCATGGTAATAGGCAGGCAGTGCTATATAGCCTCAGCAGTTGAGAGGGTCATAAAAGACCCAATGAAACACACACACACTCACATGAGAAGATGTTTGTCCATCACTAAGCTAAAACCATAGGGATTAGGGACACAATTCATTGCATTAGCAGTCATGAGGTGGCTGACTGGGCATTTACAGGGCTGCCAAAACATGCAGGATGTATGGGTTTTGGGGGACAAGTTAGGGTATGGAATGTTTTGTATGCATTTTTAATGGGCCTTCATGATGTGTGCTTCCTTGTTCCAGAAATGTTTGTGGCATTGACAGCCATGACAGGTCACAGCTTTTGGATCTAAGCCTTTGATCCTTGATTACTGAGGACCATGGAGAGTGAAGCTAAGGAGGATTTCTCTGGCAGAGGTAATTGCCTGTGAAAAATTAAATGGATGGTCAGTATAGTTGCTCAGAATGTCATTTGGTGTTTGACTCCTAAATACTTCAGGACATTGCATAGGAACCTGGGCATCTTATGAAGAATGTTGCATATGAGTTGCATGAATGTCAGTCCATGCTGAACATGCTTGGCTTTGATATTGTGCATGAATTCTTTCTGTTCATGCATATAATGTAGGCAATGATACATGCTCTGTGTCTAATGTTCATTTCTTAGCCCCAGCACAAATGAACAAATCAAAGTCTGAAAAGAAGAAAACACCAAAGCAGCTGAAGAAAGCTAAGTGTCCTGCCACAATGGATGAGCCTCCTTCAGTGGTTTTGGAATTATTGCCTGAAGTGCGGTTTCCAAGGCCAGAGCCAGAGGCTCATTTGATTGCAAAGCCTCTGAAGAAAGACAAAGCATGTCTCTTTATTCCTGAGAATGCTGCTGCTTCTGGCTCAGAGTCGATGCCAGAGGTTGGGAATCAGAGTGCTCCAGCAAAAAGTCCCAAGAAACTGACGAAGACAACACTGTCTGGTGTTGCTCGTGAAGACCCAGCAGTATCCGGCGCAGAATCACTTCCTGAGGTCGGGTAAGAGTTCGAAAGATCCAACTCCTTTTAAAGATTCTTGCAGTGGGTTATATCCTGGAATGGTTCGTTTCACTTGAAATGATGCCAGTTGATAGCTATAGTTGAGCATACATAGTTGTTTGCATGCTAGCTCGGTACTTCATGAATTATGTCGTGTTTCTGTGTATTGTTGCAGTGTGGCATCTAAGGGTACTTCCCGCAAACGCCGCGTTGTGCCCTCTCGGTACAAAGAGTCTGCAAAAAACCGTGCCGCCGCCACGCCCACGAAGCGTTTGGAGGCGTCTGGTATCTCCATCAATGAGAGCAGACTCTTCTCCACCGCTACAGCCAGGTAGGTGGCACAGGACCTGTGACCTGCATAGGCTTAGGACTTGTTATCGTTATAGGTCTTGTGATTCTGTGTGTATTCTTTGAGTCATTCACTTCTAATGGGTACTGTCTCCTATGTTAAGGTGTTAAGAATATACTCTACAGAATATACTATTTATGTTCTCAACAGAATATACTCTTTGGCTTAAGCCAGCCACCATGATTGCATAGGGTGTGACGTATATGCAGGGTTGTGTTGTCATCGTCTCGAATATGTTAAAATGCAGTATGCATGTTCTGCTTCCAGCACCCCGAATTCCACCATCGGAAAGAAGGAAGGAACCGTCATAAAATCTCAACCCAAGCAGCCCCCAAAGATGGCGAATTTGCCACTCTCTGGTAAGCATGAGATTGACATGCTGTCTATATCGGACGCAAAAGTGATGCGTAGTTTGGCGTTCTCGCTGTAGTTATGTTAGTGACAGCTTGCATTCATTGTGTCGATCCATGCTCTCATGCTTTTGCAAGGTTTAGTATTTCCGACAACGTCTGTGTCATCGCACTGCTGTCACTCCTGCTACGTACTGGATAAAACAGTTACGTATTTGTACATTTCCAACGGGAAGATTGAGGAAGTTCAAAATGACGTCACATGTGCGTGAACCAGTTCGGGTCTCCATACTGATCCATTTACATCTTACAGACAAAACCGCACCCAAAATAAAGAAATCCAACAAGACTGCCACCGTCAAAGTGAAGCCCATGCGCGCCATTGATGCGACAAAAGCTCAGGTTTGTTACGTGTCACTTGCGTATCTGCGTGCTGATGTCGTGAGGTAGCAGTCGTGCACCCATGTTCAGAGGAATGCCTCAGCATTAAACCGATAAGGTAAAGCTTCGGTTGTTGGGATTGGGCATGGGAATAGCAGTGTATAATGTTATTGTTCCTGAAGTGCGTGAAAAATTATGATGCGAAAAGGCAGCTTTTCAATCCCTACAAATCTACGACAATGTTTTTGAAAATACCTAATCAATCTAAAAGCTTAGGTTTTGTCGCAAGTCGTAATGTACTGTGTCCTGAAATTTATTACTCCCTTTTTATCTCCAATGATACCAAAAGAAACAAGGGGCGGCCTATGACTCATTTGCTGATGCAACCTCCGCTTCGGGTGTTGTTTCCCCGTCAGCTTTCAAGTCAGTTTTCTTGTGGACTGGCCATTCTCCTTGACCGACGCTGCTTGGACCATTTCGGCCACCATGCTCATCGAAATCTTCCTCCAGCAACCAGTGCTGTTTTCCAGGAACGGTTCGTAATTGTCGCGAAACAACCAGCGTTTCATGGTGTACGGCAACGACAGGTTCTCGGCGCCCTAATTGCAGGCTGCGCCTCGCTTCTCTGTACCAATCGGGAGCGGGTCGATAATGTGCGCTCTTCAATCATAGTGGCCACCGGGTCTGCACGCACCGGCCTCATGCCCCAGGCCACGTCAGCCGTCATGGTCACTGCCAATGAACACGTGGAGATGACCTGGGGCCGGGCGCCGTTAAAAGTTCGTTGTTTTTGCGACCGTACGAGGGGCGTGTTAAGTCGCACCAATCAGTCGTGCGTCGACACCCTGAGCATGGGGTAAGGTGCCGCCGCGGCACAGCACCATTACGGCGCGTCTTTGGCGAAAATGCGGCTTTGCCGGCGTGATAGTGATCACCCCACGTTTCTTTCAGAGTATCCCAGTTTTAGGGTATGGCCATAGAACATGCTGTTTCCGCCAGCGGGGTCACACCACCTTTTGCTAGCACTCTGCACCTGCGTCACGTACTGGCCTCCTGAAGAGGTCATACGGAGGCCGGAATCCTGCCTGACTGTTGGATAGCTAAGTTTCAGGTGGCCCCGTATTTCGTCCCCGGGGTTTTTGCACGTCCGCGACTGCGGGTCACACAGTGTCAGGAGCTACCTGGACCGGCTGCAGCGCAAAAAAAGCATGAAGAGAGGTCTGAAGGGGAAGATAGGCATTCAGAGCCCCACATAAAATGATGTGATCGCGCTCGATGTCGAAGGTATATTCTACTCGAATGGTGAAGCGTCGAAACGGACGAGAGACTTGTGCGCAGGGTACTGGGAGCACAGGGCATGAATGCGACATCCGGATCGGTAGAGGGTGGAGCTTCCTAACAAGGTCACGGACAGGGCGGCTCTTTCCAGCGTTAACCCCGTCAAAGTCAATTGCGTGAGGATGACGAGCATGGTGCCATATGCGGAAAAATGTGTTTGCCACTCTAAGAAGCTGCATTCAGCGGCGCAACGGCGGCGAAGAGTTACCATTTGCAGCGTCACTGCATCGCATAGCGTCGCTCGCTCTAATTCTGCCGGCAAATATTACGCCGGATCTGTTACTTTGCTGTTCATGCATGTGTACCCATCGGGGTGGGAAAAAGAAACGTTTCAATTTTCGGCCAACCTAAGTTAGCGTGGACTGTATATGACGCATGCTTTCCCGCGTATCAAACGAATTCTAAGCTGCTGGTGTACTCGTTGCTGCTATCTCAAGCACCGAGCACAGTGGCACGTGTGTTATATTGCGTTCCTGTATCACGTGGCATGTTCGCCACGCGATCGGCGACCTCCGTTCATGGTGCGATGTCGGTGCAAATGACATGCGTTTTAGTATGGCACTCAGCCCTGGCCCTGCCTCACTTTGAAGCACAGCTTTTGTACTTGTGATTGGTGAACCAGTTTGGCATCTCTGAACCACTTTTCAGGCTTGTTTGTTCTACGATGTAGATGTCACGTATTTATGTCTACAAATGCGTACATGTGTATCTACATTGAAATATATATTTATTTATGCATGAATATATGATATAATAGATATATAAAACTTGTATATATGGATATATGTATATATATATATATATATATATATATATATATATATATATCCGTCCCTTTTATTGCGATCTGACCCGTGTGGCAATCGTCGACTGTGGCTTAATCGCTGGTGGTATACCCAATGAGTGTTGTTTGGCCCGGAATGGCTGCTTCCATTGTAGGTAAAGCTGTGCCCATGGTTGGCTGGCTGTACCTCACATGCAGCGGTGCACCGTGTGCCTCAGACGGTTGGGGACGCTGATCGGGTGCCTGAGCACCAGCTGCTGTACAACCAGTACCTGCAGTGGACCTACCTCTGCAGGGTGACCGAGGCGTCCATCAAGAGGGAGCTGCCGCAGCTCAACGTGAGAGACACTGGCATCACGCCAGACGCGCACTCCGCCGTTAGCTGCACCTGATGGGTGTCACGGATTCTTGGATTCCGCTGTGATCCATGCACTTGTGTCAGACGCGAGGCGGTTACGGCATCCGTATTCGACGGACTGTATCCGCGGTTTGTTGCTGGCGTTAGTTTACACCGACAAGTCCGTGGTAAGACCCATCTGGAGCCCCAGCTCATCCTGCTTCTGGTCCTTCTGATAAAGTTCGACGCCAGGGGCTATGCTTAGGTGCCACTTTACGGCAGCATCAAGTGTAGGCCACCGAATCGATCCGTATAGATCACGCAGTGGTTCAAAGCGTGGGCCACTGAACCCGTCCTCATAGATCACGTGATGGTTCAGAGTGTGGGCCACTGAATCCGTCCGTATAGATCACGCGATGGTTGAAAGTGTGGGCCACTGAATCCTCCGGTATCAATCACGCGATGGTTGAAAGTGTGGGCCACTGAATCCATCCGTATAAATCACGCGATGGTTGAAAGTGTGGGCCACTGAATCCATCCGTATAAATCACGCAATGGTTGAAAGTGTGGGCCACTGAATCCATCCGTATAAATCACGCGATGGTTGAAAGTGTGGGCCACTGAATCCATCCGCATAAATCACGCGATGGTTGAAAGTGTGGGCCACTGAATCCATCCGTATAAATCACGCGATGGTTGAAAGTGTGGGCCTCCGAATCCATCCGTATGAATCACGCGATGGTTGAGTTCCTTCACCGCTCTGGTGCCGATGTCGACCGCTGAAACGTGTCCGATCGAACGCCGCGTCGCTCAGTTTCAGGCGCGCCAGCTGAGCGCGCTGGTGGAGGGCGCGCGTGAGGAGAAGCTGGAGCTGGAGCGGAAGCTGCAGGCGGTAACGCTGTACCGCGAGATGGCGCGGCTCGAGCACGAGCTGACTATCGTTCTCGGGGCCATCAACGGTGAGAACAACACCCGGGTGGGACCGGCCCTCCCCGTGGACCTCCCCGCCCCACCCGACCTCTCATGACCGACTCGACACCACGGTTGGAGTTTTTTTTTGCACGGCTTTCCCTGTTCTCCGGCTGCCACTTTCACTTGCGCTTGGGACATGACCTTCTCCCTATGACTGGGTTGTCTCCGACGGCTGGTTCAGCTCTCACGGTCCACACTTTGAGGCGGCACAGTCCGCCCCTGTGTGGGGTGCACGGCGTGGGCTGTGCAGAATGATAAATCTGGCACACGGCGATTATGCTGGCGCATTTGAGCTTTTGCGTCGTAGCATCCCCATTTGTCACAAAGTTTCTCGGGAGTTACGCCCCGGAGTGAATTGATGACATTCCCTGATCAGCTGCTGTGCCTGTGCTGCATTGTCTGAAGTTGAGGAATGTCAACGGTGCGCGATGTTCCTGCCGCGCCAGGCTCGGCGGACGCGGTCCGGGGCGACCTCAGTCGGCTGACCACCATTCTCGACGCCACGCGGAACAGGCTGCAACTGAAGCACTTCACCGAGCCGACAGATGTCGCCCGATACGCGGGTACGTCTCCGCGCCGTCGCCGGTGGTTGCGGGTGTGTGAGTGTGAATATTTGAACATCGGATAAATATATTTGTAGCGAGCATATGTTAACGTGATGATGGCACGCGGATGATGTACAGTGGTAAGCTTTTCCACCGAACGGTTAGGGTGTGCAGAGATGGAGGATAAGTTTAGTTACAATAGTGCCAAACGCGAGCTCTGTTTTACTTTCAAGCTGGTGACTTACGTCAGCTGTGTCGCAGACGCGACACCAAGATAAGTTGTCACGACTGCATGCATATCTTCGCCTTGCCTCATGGTGCAAACTGCGGGATTTGGCGAAGGCCAAATATTCTCGGGATTGATCACAGCCTGCCTGCATCATGCATTTTAACATAACCTAAGCTCTACATGTAGCTGACATCCACCTGGCTGGATGCGGTGTTCGGCATCCCTGACCAATCCCCAAACTGAGTGCATATCCCAGCTAAACCGCTCATTGCTAAACCCGTGTGACGTGCTTAGTTTGTTCTGAAGGGCATTCTTCAGAGCAGTGGTGTTAGGACAGCGTTAACACCCTGAGTACCGTGACCTCTTCCTTGTCCCGTCTGACCTGCCGTGTCCGCCGTAGAGGACCCGCTGCAGGGCAGTGTCAGAACAGCATCGACATCCTGAGTACCGTGACCTCTCCCCTGTCCCGTCTGACCTGCTGTGTTCGCCGCAGAGGACCTGCTGCAGGCGGCCGAGCGGTGCCGGGACGCCGTCAGTGCGCTGAGTGACGTCACCGCGCCGCACTCCAGCCTACTGAAGCACACGGCCGAGTCGGTCAGCAGTCTTCAGCAGGCGCTACGGGGCGGCATGGACGACACACAGAGGTACAGTCCCTGGCCCCGCCCGCCTGCCGTGTGTTCAGGGGTGTATCCGTGTGTTCGAGTGGTGTCATGTCTCTGGTGCCACGAGCACTGCCACGCTGCGGTGCACACTGCGCGCTCGGCGTGCTACCCCCAGACGGTGCGCTTCTGCTCGAGACCGCGCGTCTCCGTCGGGAGGTGTCGGCCGCTTGGGAGTCGTTCGCTGTCTAACGTCAGACCGGTGGCGGATGGACGAGCGCGACCAGTGTCAGACCGATGGCGGCTGGGCGAGCGTGGCCAGTGTTGGACCGATAGCGGCTGGACGGGCGCAGCCAGCGTGCTCACTCACTCAGGCCTTGCGCGCGCTGTGAGGCAGCTCTGTGTCTGACTGCAGGTCGGCGGAGCTGCTGCGGGAGCTGAACTCGCTGACGCTGCAGGAGGCGTCGCTGGCGGTGGGCAGCTCAGGGCAGTGACGGCGGACCGGACCCGGAGGCCGGATCGGCTCGGGTCGAGGGTGCTCCGAGATGTGTAATGGGGGGGGGGGGGGGCTGGCTGGCGATGTGCCCCGCAGCTGGTCAGCGTGGCGCTGTTGAACGCTTGGATCGCTGGTGTAACGCTGGCGCGCTTGTTGCTATTTTTGCTGAATAAAAGGTCACCCGTGACAGTTCTCCTCGGGGGCTTTGTTAATGCGCATCATTTGTCGCTGTCTCACACCGGCAGACAGTCACGAAGAACGGTGCTGCGGTCTCCGTCCCACGACTACAGCATCCATACGCCGTAGAGTTCTCGTGTCCAAAAAATGCCAGCCAACTCTCTTATTCTCTGTCTTGCTTCATCTTGCATCCTCGCGATGCCCCAATTGCCCGGGGGAGGCTGTATGCGTCAGCCACGAGTGGGCCGAGAGCCCCGTGGAAAGGGGGATCCGGACCGGGTACCCAGCGCACTTGCGCGGGTTAAAGCTCGCCCCCACCAGGCGCATGCAAGTCTGCCCCACCGTTAACCAGCTTCCTTCATCCATAGCCTTGAAAGGATCATTTCTGGTCGAAAGGGCTCTAATCCAAGCAACCAAACCAACCAACAACTGGTCTTGCTGTTCCGTTAGTGTATGAATTTGGTGGGAGCTCGGCCTACCCCAATCAAATCCTTGCATTGCGTGTCAACGGCAGGTTTTCAGCGGTACGCTGGCTGTCAACAGAAGTCGGTGGCTACTGCGTCGTCTGCTTGTCCGTGCGGGACGTCGTACCGCGGGTACCGTGGGTTTTGACGTGTGACAGCGGCTGCCTTATCACGCCTGCTCCGTGAAGCGGAAGTTGCTGGCGCCATGTAACCAGGGTCCTGAAACTCAGTATCAAATGCGCGCATTAATTCATATTACTTGTATTCATTCGGATTACCCCGCGAGGTCCACCGATGCGTCGCTGCGACGAATCTTCTGCATTCGTGCTTCCGCTTGATCCAAATGCTTTGTTAGCTTTCCCACTTGACTTGCCGATCAACAGCTGTAATCGCGCGAGACCACAGGAACGCAACCCACGTCGGCTTCAAATGATCTGGGCAATCCAGGTCGGGTCTGTATTTGAGCAGTGCGGTAGTCATCGCCAGAAAATATAGGCTCTGCGTGATATTTGGTTTTTCATTTTTTAAGCATTTAGTCAAACATAGTGGGGGCGGGACCATCACGAAAGGAATGCAAAACCGCTACTCATTCACTGCTCCGTCCGGCGCCCGCCCCGTCCATCGTCACCATACACCTGTGATGCCCCGCGTTCCCGCCACGCTGCGTTGGAATATCGTGATCGGTTCCCAGCCGGTCGCGTGGGACTGATCTGCCGTTGAGTGGCTAACGTTCATATCTAACTTCAAACAGACCATATGGCTGGGACGCCCAACGGGCCCGATTACCCAGGTCTACACAGGGCGGGAGGGAGACAAGCGCCTACATGTACCCCCTGATATCATGGCCGAGCCACCTGCTCTCAGATTCGCACATGGCGAATATCATGGTATCATGGTGTACCAACGTATATAAACATATGTATATATATATATATATATATATATATGTGTGTGTGTGTGTGTGTGTGTGTGTGGTGTGTGTGTGTGTGTGTGTGTGTGTGTGTGTGTGTGTGTGGTGTGTGTGTGTGTGTGTGTGTGTGTGTGTGTGTGTGTGTGTGTGTGTGTGTGTGTGTGTGTGTGTGTGTGTGTGTGTGTGTGTGTGTGTGTGTGTGTGTGTGTGTGTGTGTGTGTGTGTGTGTGTGTGTGTGTGTGTGTGTGTGTGTGTGTGTGTGTGTGTGTGTGTGTGTGTGTGTGTGTGTGTGTGTGTGTGTGTGTGTGTGTGTGTGTGTGTGTGTGTGTGTGTGTGTGTGTGTGTGTGTGTGTGTGTGTGTGTGTGTGTGTGTGTGTGTGTGTGTGTGTGTGTGTGTGTGTGTGTGTGTGTGTGTGTGTGTGTGTGTGTGTGTGTGTGTGTGTGTGGTGTGTGTGTGTGTGTGTGTGTGTGTGTGTGTGTGTGTGTGTGTGTGTGTGTGTGTGTGTGTGTGTGTGTGTGTGTGTGTGTGTGTGTGTGTGTGTGTGTGTGTGTGTGTGTGTGTGTGTGTGTGTGTGTGTGTGTGTGTGTGTGTGTGTGTGTGTGTGTGTGTGTGTGTGTGTGTGTGTGTGTGTGTGTGTGTGTGTGTGTGTGTGTGTGTGTGTGTGTGTGTAATATGTCAGTACCAAAATGCAGGGCCCAAGCAAAATTGAACCCCCTGGCCCCGGTGACGTTCAGGGAATGGTACTTATGATGGGCGTAATTTCACGAGTTGATTTGGAAGGGAGTGAGCGCCGGAAAATGACGTGAGCTAACCCCAAAACACGGATTTCTTCTCGGAACTGAAATACCTTCCCGAGTTGGGGGGAGGGGGGTCTGGAGCCCAGCTTTGAAAGATTTCCCCGGAACGGAAGGGGAACTACACGACTGGTACCGCTTACGCCCCGCCGTGGCTGCGTGTGCGTGATAGGGACCATACCATCAGGCTAACCTGTACTCTCGGGCTGGCGGTCAGACCGGCGGCACTCCCTGTTCCAATTCTGCCCTGGCTCAGGACGCACGTCTGCGCCGCAATGACCGATAAGAATAGGTTCGTAACGCGTGCCGTGCTTTCTTCATACGCTTGTCTGAGTGTTTGCGATACCCGATAGTCGTCATGAAGACGGTGAGGGGAGGCAGGCCGGCCCGCGTCACGCGCCACGCGCCTGGTAACGGCGGCGGAGGCGCGGTGATCGTTGACGCTCTTTAACAAGTTGAATCCCGAGCAGTCTTCGGCTTAAAGCTGCCCGGGGGAATGTGCCAGCAAGGCAACTTAATGCTCGCACTCGGCACTGCCAAAGCACCTCCAGTGCCAAGGGAACTCAGTACTCAATGTTGTTAATACCGCGTGGCATAGTGTGTGCGGGTGCGGCTGAGCGACATCCGAGATTAGTACAATTGGGTCCGGTAGTGAAGTGTTCGATCCTAAATGGTTATTAGACTGTCGATGGTCCTGCAACTGCTGCAGTTATAAGCCTAAGTGTTCTCATGCTAATTGTGAAGAGCCGGCGGTCACATATTCAGTGTAGGTGACTCGAGCCCGAGTTTCTCGGATCACAGATCCGCCTCTCTGCCGGTTCATTGTCGACGACTCGGACATTCCCAACTGAATAGCATGGGCCCAGTGATGTGAAATAATGATAGTGATACGAATATATAGATGCGTACATATTATGCATGCATGGATATACATGATATGGATGTAAATATGATAGTTATATGGGCCCAATGATACGGCAATTCAAACGACATTAACTAATTTAACGGTATGTTTCACGCGCTGCCATTTTGCGTTATATTTTAAGGTGACACCATCCGTGCGCAGAGAAACTGATCGGTCTTCGAATCAAGGCGAGACCGGTGCTCTCGTTGCTGACTGGCAGAGGGAGGCAGCGCGCTCGTTGCCGACGGTAGAGAAGCATTCGTCACACTCGCGTGTCATACATCCGCGGCGGTGTGTCAAAAGCGTATCAGCGATGGGCGCGCGTTGCAGACCGAAAGGTGTTGTAAAAGCCCCGAAGCAGGCCAAAATCAGCGAAAAGTGCATTTCACTTAAAAACGAGTGACGGAAATGCCAAAATAGACCAGAATTGAAAACGCAGAGTCGTCCGTAGAACTTGTCGGTGTCCATGCAAAGCATCGATTTTGGGTGCTGAGCCGTACACGATCAAGTGGTGCTGCCGCGTCTGGTGCGACCAGCGTCCTTGGCCGCTCTCGTCAGGGGAGGGGCAACAGGCGCGGCACGATCGCTGAGTGCCTGCGTCGGCCGCTACTGCACGGTCAGTTTGTACATGAGCGCGTCCCGGGCCGGCACCTGTGCGGCGATCTCCTGCACTGGCGTTACCACGCCGAGGTCTCCGTGACTGAAGAGCTCGCGCAGCGCGTAACCGGCGGCGGCGCCGCAGCCCACCTGGTTGGGGCTGAAGCGCACGGTGGCCGGGCTGTCGCCGAGGTTGACAACAGCCACGGCGCAGGAGCGGCCGGACGCCGTCATCGGCAGCACGGGCCGCCACCAGAGCTGCGCGTCGGCGGCGCCGGCCGCCGCCAGCCGACCCAAGACGCCCAGCGTGTCCTGATCGACCGCGATCACCTCGCTGTTGAGCAGGATGGCCGCCGAAGCGGCGTCCAGCCGCCGCAGGTCGTTGGACATGATAAGCGGCGCCGCCCACACCGACCACAGCGCCATCTGCGCGCGGCTCTCGCCCTCGTTCAGGCCGCTGTTGCCGATCAGGAGCATGTCCGGGTCGAACCATGCGCCGGGGCCCGCGAACGCGAACTGCTCGGCCTGCAGCAGCGCGTACAGCCGCGCCACGCTCACCACCGACTGCCAGTGGTCCTGGATATCGTGCGCGTTGCGCCACAGGTTGCAGGTGGCGGCGATGGCCGAGTAGTTGTGCGGCCCGTGCTCGTACAGCGGCCATTCGCACGAGTAGACGATGGGCCGGCCGAGCGCGGCCAGCTGCGCACCGAACGCCTCGTGGTCGGCCGGCAGGGCGGAGCTCCGCTCGTTGCAGCCGTCGATCTTGAGGTAGTCGGCGCCCCAGTCTGCCGGGGGGCGGGGGTGGGGTGAGCAGCTGGTACCGTTGGAGGGCTGCTGCAGGCCTATGTGCCCGCTCCGGCCCATGACATCACTGGTGGAGGCGTTGGTGCAGGTCAAGGGCTGACATTGGCGGAGACCCTGACGCTGGTGGAGATGTTGGCACGGGCATAAACGCTGACAGACGGTGTATCTATAAAGACGAAGGTGCAAACCGACGGAGGGCTGAAACGGGCGAGGATGGGGGATACAGGCGGAAGGCTAATACGGGCGGGGGCAGGGTAGGGGTCACAGGCGGAAGGCAGAGGTGGCCTGGGATGGGGGATACAGGCGGAAGGCTGATACGGGCGGGGGTAGGGTAGGGTTTACAGGCGGAAGGCAGAGGTGGCCTGGGATGGGGGATGCAGGCGGAAGGCTGATCCGGGCGGGGGTAGGGTAGGGGATACAGGCGGAAGGCAGAGGTGGCCTGGGATGGGGGGATACGGGCGGGGAGCTGATACGGGCGGGGGTAGGGTAGGGGATACAGGCGGAAGGCAGAGGTGGCCTGGGATGGGGGACACAGGCGGAAGGCTGATACGGGCGGGGGCAGGGTAGGGGATGCAGGCGGAAGGCAGAGGTGGCCTGGGATGGGGGATGCAGGCGGAAGGCTGATACGGGCGGGGGTAGGGCAGGGGATACAGGCGGAAGGCAGAGGTGGCCTGGGATGGGGGATACGGGCGGGGAGCTGATACGGGCGGGTGTAGGGTAGGGGATACAGGCGGAACGCAGAGGTGGCCTGGGATGGGGGATGCAGGCGGAAGGCTGATCCGGGCGGGGGTAGGGTAGGGGATACAGGCGGAAGGCAGAGGTGGCCTGGGATGGGGGATGCAGGCGGAAGGCTGATCCGGGCGGGGGCAGGGTAGGGGTCACAGGCGGAACGCAGAGGTGGCCTGGGATGGGGGATACAGGTGGGGGCTGCTCCGGGCCGGGGTAGGGTAGGGGTCACAGGCGGAAGGCAGGGGTGGCCTGGGATGGGGGATACGGGCGGGGAGCTGATACGGGCCGGGGTAGGGTAGGGGATACAGGCGGAAGGCAGGGGTGGCCTGGGATGGGGGATACGGGCGGGGAGCTGATACGGGTGAGTTAGGGATACACGTGGGAAGCTGACAGGTGTCCGCCCTGCCATACACGCAGAATGACTACAGGCGAGGGCGCTGCCACAGGTGGAGGCGTTGAAACAGGAGGAGGCGGTTGCACAGGCCGTCAGCAGACTCTCTGTACAGATGACCTGGTGTGTTTTCCGACTGATGCTGGGAATTTCAGGCGCGACTAAATGAGCATAGTTTCATGCAAAATGCGCCGCAATTACTCGAGGTATTTGCGTAGCCCATTTAAATGAACCTGCCCGTGTGCTGGCTTCGCGTGAGGGGAGGGCAGTCAACTGCGTATGCCAAGCCTGCTGTGCACGTTCCCATCAATCTGACTCGGGACCACGAATAGCTCGGTTGGCTTCGGCGTTTCCATCTGGGATAAACCCACGATGCAAAATTGATGTAATTAAAAATATACTACACTATTCTGTAGATGATAACAGTGATGATCAGCTGCAGACTTCTCACCGTGTAAGGATTCTTGTGCCGTGGCAGTATCAGGTAAGAAAGGTGAGGATCCCGAAGGAAATGCACGTGTTGCAGTAGGTAATATGCGGTCTCATAACCGGAAGAATTTCAAGTTTGATAAAGCAGGTGCATGCTCTGCATCAATAAGTTAAACGTAATAACTAGTGCGGAGTTTGAAATGCGTGGTCGTAGAGGCTGTCTATCGGGTTGTCCTAAGACTAGCAGTGGTCATCAGGCCATCCCATATCTTGCATAGCGTCCCCGCCATACGGCGAAAGTCCGGCTCCAGCCACACTTCCAGGTCCGCCTGTCGTTGAGCTTCCAAAACTGCACCCACCGCCAATCGTCCGAAACGCCACCTACCATCAAACGTCTGCACATCCGTCTCGAAGTGGCCGCGCAGGCCCGGGTAGCCGGCGCAGGTCTCAGAACCGATGTCCTCGTAGATACCGAACAGCAGGCCCTTGTCGTGGATGTAGTCGCCGAGCGCGACCATGCCGGACGGGAAGCGGTTTGGGTCCGGCTGAAGGCGGCCGGCCTCGCTCCGCGTGCTGGCCAGCCAGCAGTCGTCCACTATCACGTATCTGCGCACATCCGGGCAGGGAACGCCGTAGGTAGAACGCTTGGGGATGGGGGCACACTACCGCTTCCGGCCAAGAGCTGAAGGAGCGTTCCGTGGCAGCGCGGGGTGCAGCCGGTAGGTTGCAAATCTGGCGACACGGGTCGAGGTCCCCTGGTGGATCCGGAGGCCCTTAGGGGGTGCCACGTTCTCTGCGGCGTTAATCTTTATGGGAAAGAAAAGATGAGGTGAAAACTGCTCTCCGATTCGTTTGACCCCGAAACAAGAAGAGCGAATGGAAAAACGAAGCCTGGTTCTGAAATCAGGCTGCCATGAGGCGCCATTTGAAATGTGACATGACGGCGTTCGGTGAGATAGACTTTTGAATGAGATATCTCACCGTCAGTTTTGGGGTGAGAATTTGTGTCCCTCTGGGCTGCGCAGAGTCGCCAGGTGGGCCGCTCGCGGTGTGGCGAACTTGCACGTGAGCTTTTTATGGTTGTGCGTGGAGTTCTACTGTGGGGGCCGTTCCCGTACTGTGCCGAGTGCACACAGACTATGGCTGTAGCTCTGGACCTCTTTGGAGGGCCTTCCTCACAAGTTTGCGTCGGCCGCTCAAAATTTGACCAGTTATCCAAAAATAGTCATAAACAATACAAACGGCCAAAAATCGCTGCATTTTTCTTGCACAGTGCATCCTCCGTGAATCACTCAATAAATTTCCGGCGGCTCTGCTCGTGCGGAGCGTGGTTCGAGCCCCGCGTCCTTGAGATGCGCGTGACATCATCTCCATGTGGGGAAGCGTAGTCTGAGCACCTGCTGAGTTATGTTTAGCACCGAGCACTGCCTTCTCCGCGCTGAAAGCTAAGCACACCAACTAACAAGGAGCGCTGGATCCATACACGTGATGGCGCTTCACTCACAGTTGGCGCCCGTGAAGATGTGCTTCCTCTGACACACGCACAGCCCTCATCCAAGCACTGGCGAGGCCCTTATACTCATTCATTTTACCCTAAACCAAACCTAACATTATCAGACGATCACTCGCACCGACCCGCCCACCCACCCACCCCACACGCACACATACCCCACACGCACACACACATTACTCACACGAACTGTGGTTCTCACGTATGTGCCCGTCCGCCTCACGTATAGTGATGCTTCCCGTTTGTAGCTCTATCCCCATCCGCATCCGTAGTCCTAATCTACATCTAATGTGCTCGCCTGTGTCTGAAATGCTCTCAACGTATTTGCAGCATCAATTTGTATTCTCATTCATTTTCTCATCGGGGTTCGTGGTCTCCAACCCATCCTCGTAGCCATTATGAGGACCGTCCAGTCAAAGGTGGGGACTCTTGGCCCTCACCTGTGCGAGACGGATACAAACACTAGTGAAGACCACGGCTCTAGTCCCCACCTGTGACTGGGTCTTCATTTGTTACTGCGTTCTCCGCTGCCACTGGGTTGTCACTTCTCACTGGGTCCTCACTTGTAGCTCAAGCCTTCATTCGCAGTCGTAGTCACAACCTGCAGTTGACGTCTTGGCTTGTAGCCGAATACCCCATCGGCAGTCTACATCCTCATCTTTAGCCTGCGTCCTCACCAACAGCTGGCGTCCTCACTTGCAACTGGCATCCTTACCTGTAGCTGTGGTCCCCACCTGTGCCTGGTGTTCTTACTTGTAACCGGCGTCCAGGAAGCCATCCTGCTGCATGCGGTCAGCCATGTCCCGCATCAGCTGTTCGCTGATGCAGCTGTCAGGCTCGTTCTCGCAGTCGATGTTGCAGCGGAAGCGCTCCCAGGTGAGCCAGCCCATCGGCGGCGTCAGCGCCAGGCCGTTGTCGCGCGCACGGGCCGGCCCGGCCAGCAGCGGCAGCAGCAGCAGCAACAGCGGCAGCGGCAGCGGCAGCAGGACGGCCATGGCGGCGGCGGACGAGACACTGCCCGGCCGGTGACGGGCGCGTAGGCTGGGAACAACTGCAGGTGAGGGCAGTCGGAGGCGGCCGCCGTGGGAACGGAGCTGCCCGGTCGGCAGCAGTGCAGCGGCCGGCAATGACAGCTGCAGGGAACGGCAGCTCCGGGCAGGCGGCGTGGACAGGCTGTGCGGGCGAACCGGCTGGCTCTGGATTGAGGTACGCATGCCCCTGCTCAGCACGGCAGCTTCGATTTCGTTGACTTCCAGACAAAAGTTATCTGGACCAGCGGCAAATCGTTTCCCATGCAAACTCGGCGGAGTTTGTCACAAATTCTCACCCCAAAGCTGACGGTGAGATGCCTCACTCAAAAGTCCGTCTTACCGGACGCCGTCGTCTCACATTTCAAACGGCGCCTCATGGCAGGCTGATTTCAGAACTAGGCTTTGTTTTTCCACTTGCTCTTCTTCAGTCAGACGAATCTGAAATCAGTTTTCACCCATCTTTTATTCCCCATAGAGATTAACACCGCAGTCGACGTGGCATTCCCCCAAGGGCCTCCGGTTCGACCATGGGGACCCCGACCCGTGTCGTCAGATTGACGACCTACCGGCTCCACCCGCGCTGCCACGGAATGTCCCATCAGCCCTTGGCCGGGAACAATAACGTGCCTGCCGAGCGTCCTACCCACGGCGCCGCGTGCCGGAAAATGGGAATGGGTCTCATTAGTGTTCAATATAGTGCATCAATATGAGATCAAAAGGAAGAAAAAGCCACCCCACGTTCGTCTGAAAATGTCCGTCCTTTGGCGGAATCGGCTAAAGAAACAAGCTGCGACAAGGTTTTGAGGACGCGCGCTGGCAATCTTGGGGGCAGGAACAGCAATGAGCTGGGTTACAGTTCCGCATAACAGAAAGACGTTGACAGCTGCGCACAGCGCCAGGTGGCGGGCGGCGGACGCGCGAGAATGACCATCCTGCTTCTGAAAGTTTTCACCCGCAAAATTTTGAGGTCGTCCTGCCAATAGATCATCAAATAACTCTCCCAGTTCATCACCATATTCCGGCGCCAGTTCACGCTCCTGTAAATGTTAATCCATTCTTTTCATCAATCTAAAAATAATTCACGTGAAATATCCGCTGACACTGCGTTCCAAACGAACGAAATGATGGCCTAAAGAGTTTAAAGGTACTTCTTTCAAATGCGTCATCATGTCGTCCGCTCGTTGGCCGCCAACAAGTGTTAGCCATGCATGTTCAAAATTGTGTAACATACAGCAGTCTTGACAGTGATTTCCTAAGGCGTTCATAGATGCCTCTTTAAGACAGGTTAACCTTTTCGTCCCCTCGTTTCGTCCGCGCGGTGAAATGGCCGGTGTTTTTTCCATGCAGTTATTTAACACCCAGCTTCGTTCCATTTATTGGCTTCAAATGCAAGCAGGATTGCATCTTCCTGTAGCCTCTCTGGCTTCTGTTCCAGTTAAATTGGTCAAAAAAGCAGATAAAACGAAGACAATCTTGCCGTCTCGAAAAAAGGGTCAAAGCTGGTAATTTTGGTTTGGGCATTCATTGTTAATGAACTCAATGTCGGTTTTGTGCCCTCCACACACAATCCCCCTTACAAAGGCGCTGGCTGCGCCCCTGAGCGTAACCATCATCGTTATTATTACCATCAATCGTCTCTTTTCGGGTCATTCCCATCATCTCGGACCACTCGACGTCCATTTGATCATCACTGTGTTTATTGAAAAAGAACTGAAAATGCGAACACAAATCCGAAAGGTGCAGAGACAAACGTTGGAATCGAAACACATTACTTGAAGCACGTAAAAAGAAAATCGCAAAGTCAGTAAAGGTGTAAGCCATCTGTAACTTGAAGGACGTTTACCATACTCATGCCCGTGAAGTACACCAGTTTTCCACCTGAATTCATGGTTTGTTACTGAGTTTGACGCTAATTAATTGCATCAGGCGTGTCAATTCTTTGTAAATTTTGAGGGTTGGACAGAAGGCCTGACAACCTATCCCAACCGCATTTTTCTCACCGGATTTAGCGCATTTTATATTGATTAAACGCGATGTATGTTTTTAAACTTTGTATCATTTATAAGTGTCTAATTTAAGCAGCATGGACGTCATGCAGGGTTGGACCCAGGGAGCAGTCACTGGACGCACGGGTCTCTTCTGACCGGCACTTGAAGGCACCACTTTAGAGCCCACCTTAGGGCGCCGATAGCGCTCTTTTATGGCGGTCACGGAATGCGGCACGCACTTTGGTTGTGGGGGACGGGGACGGGTACGCAAAGAAAGACTTAAGTCATCCCCATATTCCAGAGATTTTTACTTTAACCTCCAAAACCATTGCGTGTCTTATGGTGCTAGGCATGTGAAGTTTATTGCATCGTTTATCCGCTTAGCTGTTACTGTTTTTATATTGTGGTGAAAGCAACCATGACTTCTTGTTATGAGAGTGATACGAGACGCCACTAAGCAGAAAGGTCAAAGAAGATAGTCTTTGTGTTGTGATCATCTTTTGCCCAAGTTTTTTTATCCAGCTAAAAACATTGGGGGGCCAAGCCAACATTGAGAGGCCCAACTCAGCATTGCAGGCCCCTCACAAAACCATACAAATCGGCACCCGTGAATTGCATGTCATCACACTGTTTTTTTTCACGACTTCGTTTTTGTTTGCTGGCGTGACGGTGTTGTCGGCTACCCAGGCTCGGTTTGGTGCCGAAGAGGTGTGTGCTGCTGCTGCTGCTGCAACGGCGGAGATCGACGAGTCGGATTTCATCGTCACGTATGATGAGGAAGATCACGGATGGAGCGTTTCCTGCAAGTGGAATAATGGAAACAGGCCGAGGGCATTGGCAAACACAGTCGCAGAGTACTAAAGTGCACCAGCCGCCCAGGACGAGTACGAAGAAGAGGTGAAGAAGTGGGTGGAAAATGACTGACGCCTTGCAACGAAAAGAAGCACGGTCCGGTGCGAGGAACCGTTCCACTGACGGCGATCATGCAGCCTAACAAGGGCAAGGTGGCAGCCTGTGATGGGCTTTCGAGAGCTGAGCTCGCACCTAGCTGGTCGCACTGCAGATGGTGATGAACGCGCAGATTAACCGCGTGAATGGCGACGAAGAGGCAAAAGGGACGCACTTATTGATCTTTGCAAGGCGTATCTGCAAATTCACGTTCACAGATCATCGTGGACCTACCACGCCGCGTTTTCGGTGACAAACGCTACTGCCTCACCCGGCTCGGCTTTGGACTGAATGCAGCGCCTTATATCCTGAAGGAAGTGGTCGCCGCCGTGTTGGGCCACGACAAAACACTTCGTGAAGCGACGTCGCCATAACTGAGCGACATTTTTGCGAACGAGAGTGTAACTAGTGATCAGTACGTCGAAGCGCAAATGCGTCAGAACGGCTCGAGTACAAGACCGCAGTCCGTGTGAGCGGTAGCGGGGCTCGCGTGCTCGGACCTCATGTCCGCAAGACGGGAGACCAGCTCAACCGGGAACGAGCCAGTGAAGTGGGAGGGTTGCCGCAGAACCCAACGCGCCGCAGGGTGTTCTCCCTGTGCGGTCGCATGGTCAGTCATCTGGCTGCCTGTAGCTGGCTGAGAGTCGCCGCCTCGTTTATGAAGAGGAGAGCGAATGTGGTGACGTGAGCAAAGTGCAATCAAGTCAAAGATGCACAGGTTTTAGACGTGATGGGCGAGATGGTGCGCATGCGCGTTGAACGACCAGGATCGCGGTTGATCGGACGTCGCCAGCACCCGAGCCACCGTCTGGGTGGATACCAGCTCCATGGCTCTCGGTGCGGGTCTGGGAGTGGAAGGTGACGTCTTTGAGGACGCCAGCTGGCTACGACGTGAGGACCGCAGTCACATCAACTTAGCAGAGCTGGACGCAGCCCTGAAGGGTTTGAATCTAGCTGTGGCGTGGGATATGAAACTGATCCGCTTGATGACCGACCCACGCGCGGTGTTCTACTGGGTATCCGGCGCGCTGTCGGGGGACGCAACGCTCAAGACGAAGGTGGCCAGTGAATTTCTGATCCGGCGTCGTCTTTAGACCAGCATGTCTATCGCTGAGGAGCATGACCTCAAGTTAGATGTCCCCTTCGTGCCGTCCGCGGAAAACAAGGCCGGTAGTATCACACGAGTGCGGAAGGTGGCTGAAGAAGGGAGAAGATGAAGCTCCGGCCTGTGCGGCAGTCAAAGAAGACACGACGTGCGAAGAGGCAGCGCGCATTCACGAAGTTGGACATCCAGGCACGCTACGCACTCTCTACTTCTGCCGCAGAGTGTCGCCGACAGTGTCTCGGAAGCTGACGCAACGGGTGGTGCAACGATGCGTCGCGTGCTAATCCATCGATCCTGCGCCTACAACGTGACTCAGAGGCGAGATGAGCGTCGAGGAAGTTTGACACAGGATGGGCGCAGATGTGGCGCGTGTGCAGGGGGACACTTTCTGAGCAGGATAGCCTGTGGGGCCGCTCGTTTCGTGATTTCGTGACGGAGGCGGCTGATTCACCAGGATGCTTCCAGCATGATTCAGCAGCTAGAACCAGTCTTCTGGGAACAAGGAGCGCCCGAAAAATTGCTCGTCGATAATTGCCCAGTCCCTAAAGCCTCGACCTTCAGTGAGTTTGCGGAACCGTGGAGCACCGGGAACGTCTTCAGATGTGCCCATAGCCGAGCGTCGATGGCGTCACCGAGAGATGCCATCGGACCGTACAGCAATCGCAGCACGCACTGGCTGCAGTATTCAGGAAGCAGTCTACATCTATAATATCACACCAAAAGATGGCGTCCAGGCAGGCTCCGCCCCAGCAAACACGACGTACCGGTACAAAGTCAAAGTGCGCAGCGTCAACGCATGCGCGACATCAACCACCAGAGCGTGCCCAGAGTGATCTCGTGTCGGTTCAGCATCGGCAACAGAGTGTGGGTGAGAGATCCCAGTAAAAAGTGGAACGTGAAAAGCTTTCCGGGTTCTATAACGCGAGTAATTTCAGCGCAAGCAGTGGAAGCGGGTGGGACGCCACGGCATGTTCAAGGCGTGCCACACGTCACAGCGGGTGGGTCGGAACGGGCAGCCCCTACGCCACACTGGGAGTCTGACGATGGCCCGCTGTTGATCCCTGTTTAGCGGAATGGGAGGAACGACGGCAATGGACGTCCGGGATGAGGAAAAAATATTCGGATGCAAGTGAAGATGACAGAGGAGATGGAAATCCACCACCCAGTGCATGTGAAGAAGGGATAGCAGGAAGAGGGGATGAGAGTGTACGTAAACCGGGTGCAGAGGACGTAGCGTCGGCAGAGAGAGATGTTGTCCAAGATGTCAGTGATGATGTGACCAGAGAAAATGCAGAGGGCATTTTTTTTTAGGAGAGGTAGTCGAAGACGCCAGCCCCAAATCATGCGTTCATATGATCGTTAATGATCAGGGAGGAGTGTTAGATGGATGTGCAAATGAAGCGTATCAGAAATGATAAGTTGCCACGGCAACGTGATCAGAATAATATCGTTGAACTATACCATGTAACATGATGATTAGCCAGCACAGGGAAAATGAAGATAGCAAGCTCGGGGAATGGTCGGGGGTAAGACTTTTAAAGGGTCGGGTTTCTAAGCTAGGAACGCAGAAAGTTATGCGGGGGGGAAGGAGTGGCAAACGGGGGTGTGTGTTAGAACTAGTGCGGAGTATGTTTCTATTGTGTTGTGCTATTTCTTTTTTAAATACGGTACACACCCTGCGTATGAGCCTGAGAATCCACAAGGGATTCCTCGACGTTTTTTTGTGCGGTACACGCTGACCGCTGGCATGAGCCCCGGGCATCATTTGTGCAGTGCCCACTGGCATGGATTCCCGGACGCGCTTTGTCCAGTACCCACTGGTCGCTGGCACGCATTTCCGGGTGTCCTTTGTCGCGTGCGGTACCCGCTTACCGCCGGCATGAACTCCCTGGTGTCCTTTCAGTGGTACCCGTTCGCCGCTGGCATGGATTTCCAGGCGTCCTTTCAGTGGCACCCGCTTGCCGCTGGCATTGATCCCCTGATGTTCTTTGTGCGGTACCCGCCTGCCGCTGGCATGAATTCCCGGACGCACCATTGCGGTCATAGGTATGATATAGCCATGAATGACTGATATCTGACGTATCCATTCACGAAGACGAATGCTGGTTTCCGTTTAAGGTCATGCCATTGTACTTTTAGCGACATCTACAGCGGCTGCATCGCTAAATCGCGGTTGGTCACGATTGCGTACAAGTCTCTCCGACGGATGGGCCGGACGAACGGCCACCGTGCCCTAACCATCGGATGCAAACCGTGCGTACCTAGATGGAAGAATGCATTGTTATGTGCTTGGGCAGCCTGCCATCAGGACGTCTCGCAAAGATCAAACGACTCGTGACGCACGCCTGCGCGTGTTCTCGATGTCGCACCTCCCTGGGCGATGGTGCTGTTACAACCTCACTACATTTGGCACTAGCAAGGTCGCACTGCCGAACACGACAACCACCGCATTCCTCCGAGCGCGAATCCATCGCCCGAAGTTTTACGGTTCGTCTGAGTCACCCCGCTGACGGTTATCTTGCCATGCCGATGCAGATGTCAATACGAAAGCTCGCCCCAGTCTTCACGGCTATGATGCAACCCACGTGAATTAGGAACTTCTGGCCCAGACATAGCGACATCTTTCTGTAAATAGTTTACAGTTAAGTCCGAAATCCCGTTCCTGACCCTCACCGCAACTGCGGATCATCCCCGTTACGTAAACGTCGCCGTGCGGTTATGTAAGCACCAGCGGTGTGTGATTAACAAGGATCGCGTACGACGTGAGCCGCGGTAAGTTGGCATCCAAGGCTTGGCCCTGGATGAATGGAGCCCTTGCGATAGCAGATTGGCTTTGGCACTCTTGAGTGGCAAAAATGGTAAACTCGCTCATCTTACCTAGTACAGCGAGCACCGGCCATCTCCCTGTGGGCTCCGCCTTTGGGAACGCGTAGTCGGCGGTACGCGAAAAGAAAAGGCTTGCGGATCTTCTGTGTCATCTACCGTTAAATGAGCTGGGCTATCAAACAACCTATCCTTAAATACCAAGGAGGACGGCATGTCACAGCACACCGTTCTGATTCATCTTGCATATAGCTGTCGGCTTTCGCCTCACGCTGTAATGATTCTACAAGTTTGGGCCTGGGCGTGGGCCCAACGGGAGGCGCGTATGTGTCTGATGATAGAAAAATGCTGCTCTTTGTCCGCTGTCCATAAGCTGGGCGTGAACAACTCCCGATCTGCCACTGTTCAGCATGCGGACGCCCACTGGACTGAGCGACCGTTGCGAGCGGTGTGAAGTGACACTGTCAATGCCCGCAGCACAGCCGACACGGTCCATCGACCCACCCGGCCAGCCCCACCCAGGTCGAAGGGCACGCCAGACCGTTCCGAGACGCCGCCTCGCGTCGCACCGGCGTCACCGACCGCCAGAGGACGACAGAGCGGCGCCGGTGCTCAGGAGGGACCGGGCCGCGGGAGCGGCTCGGTCCCACCCGAGTTCCGCGCCAGCCGCGCCAGCCGACGTCCCGACAGGCCCAAATACCAGACAGCGCTCCCGCCGTCTCAACAAACAGAGCGCAAGAGCACGCGACAGTCCCGCTGACGTGTATTGACACTGGAATGGTGATGATCGGCGTCGCGGTTCCGAAGCTCGAGAGCGCACCCACTTCGCCTGGCGGCGGCCGGCCCGCCTACTTGGAGGCGGCCGGGAATGGGTGGTACTTGTGATAGCTGAGCCATTCCAGGCCGCAGAAGCGGCCGCAACGGTCGAACGAGTCGATCGAGGCGATGTCGGCGCTGCTCAGCTCGAAGTCCAGGATCTCCATGTTCTCCTTGATACGGCTGGGTGTCACTGACTTGGGGATGACGATGTTGCCGCGCTGCAGCTGGTAGCGGATCAGCACCTGCGCCACCGACTTCTTATACTTGTCGGCGATGTTCTTCAGCTTGGGTTCGTCCATCAGCTCCACGTCACTCGGCTTGGCCCAGGGCCTGTGGGCAGGGGATGCGGACCATGATGGCCTTGAGCACGGCAGAGGGGACACACAAGGCACCGCCTCCCGCAGCGGCCATTAACGATGCCGGGAGTGCCCGACATCGCCCGCCCGGCCCATCTGCCCGAGCGTGGAGTAGGTGCGGAGCGGCAGCGCGGTGCCGTCCCCCGACATCGCCTCCTCGGCCCATCTGCCCGAGCGTGGAGTAAGTGCGGAGCGGTAACGCGGTACCATCCCCGACATCGCCTGCCCAGCCCATCTGCCCGAGCGTGGAGTAGGTGCGGAGCGGTACCGTCCCCAACATCGCCTGCCCGGCCCATCTGCCCGAGCGTGGAGTAGGTGCGGAGCGGCAACGCAGTACCAGCAGGGGGAGCCACAGCAGCAGCCATAGCGCGGCTCACCGGTCCGGAGAGCCCAGGGGACTGTAAGCTGTGATGACCACCTCCTTCTGCGCGCAGAACTCCATCAGCTTCTTCTGGGTCAGATACGGGTGGCACTCGACCTGGAGAAAGGCAAATCAGCGGCGCTTGGAGTCGGGCACGCGCGGCGCGCGACACGCACGACACACCGTCGCAGCGATGGGTCGCAGCGTTGCTGACGAGGTGAGCCCCGGCCACGACACGCACGACGCACCGTCACAGCGATGGGTCGCAGCGTTGCTGACGAGGTGAGCCCGGCCACGACATGGCAGGGCACACCGGTTGGCCCAGCGGTGTAGGTTTATGTGATCAGATATGACGATTGCTGGGAAATCAGGATCGGCCCAGGGATCTACACAGATTTGGTAGTGATGTGGATTAAATATATTCAAACAAAAATTAGTGATTTGGCCGGCTGGCATGAAGACACCAAGCTGACGAAACACTAAATTGGAATTTAAAGTGTCACAGGAGTAAGAACAAATTAAGTCGTGCGCTTTTATACACATTATGTTCTCTTAGCCAGGACTTCATCGGTAAATCTAGGGATTACTTGACAAATTCATAGACAAAAACTGTCTATCACATCACCGTCACCAGCACGGCTTCCTTATTGGTCGTGTACGTCGCAGCATACAGGGCACCGCAACGCCAAATCACATTAAATCGGCATGGACCTAGTTCTATCACCAAGCTGTGAGGGCGTGGCAGCTGCCAGATAACTCCAAACCCTAAGCCCCGGTGGCTCGGCCGCAGCCCGCCGACGGCCGTACCAAGGCATGTGCGCGGCCGCCTCCCGCCCCTCCCCTCGGCAGGGTTCACCGACCGCCCGACCCTCAACCAGAAGTGACCCGTTAATCGGGCCACAGCCTGTGACCCTTTATTCGAGCCGCCACAGACCGTCACCCGCTACTCGGGCACACGTGGGAGCCGGCCGGCAACGCGGCCGCGGTGAGTGTTGTAACTCGTGGCACGGCTCGGCACCCCGGCCAGAGTCCACATGTACACTGCGAAATGTGCCCGCTGGCCGTGCAACTGAGTGATGGTGCTGTCAGTTCTGCCTCCAGCGAGCTCCTATCAGCCCAGCCCCACTTAGCAGGCAAACGACCTTCGAAAAAAATGAGAGTCCGGCAGTCGTGAAATGTTTTTTTATGGATTCCTTCACAATTAAAAGTTTTTATTAATTCCTTCTCAGGCAAGCTTGTGCCGTTCGACCCCCGAGTGCGTCTGTGTGTGTGGAGAAGGGGGGGGGGGCAAGACAGAGGGGGAGGGGGTTACCCATGGACCAGTGCTTGAGATGGGGGTTCCCGAGCGCACGTCCTGAACCCCATCCCCATCCCAAAGGGGCACCTGTCCGCACGTGGCTGACCTGGTTCACACAGACTGGCACTTTAGCCACGGCCAGCACACGCTCCAACTGCTCCTCGTTGAAGTTGGAGACGCCCAGAGACCGCACCAGCTTGGTGGTGACGCCTTCCTCCATCGCCTTCCACGTGTCCACGTAGTCAGCGTCAGAAGGGATAATTTTGCCATCGCTGTCTTTCGGGAAGAGATCGTCTCCCTCCTGCAGCAAAAGGTCAAAACCGAGGTCAGAACGACAGACGGGTCAAATGACACACTGGCCAAACCAGCTGTCTTTCGGGAAGAGATCGTCTCCCTCCTGCAGCAAAAGGTCACAGCCGAGGTCAGAACGACAGGCGGGTCAAATGACACACTGGCCAAACCTGCAGACAAGATGGCCCCGAGGAACCAGAACGAGCCGGTCGGGAAAACACAGATCCGATATATGACAGAAGCCAAACAAAGCGAAGCCGGCTCACATAATACATCAATCTTGTGAGTCTTGATAAGGCTGCAACCTGCATGCGTCTTGTCTCTCCTGTGTTGTAACCCACAGACCAGTGTTGAGGTGGGGATCAGGGTCGAGGCAGGATCGTCCCTCACCTTGTACCCCATGGGCCAGTGGATGAGGTAGAGGTCGAGGTACTCGAGGCCGAGGTCTGCTAGCGTCCGCTTCAGGGCCGGTATCACCAGTTCCGGAGCGTGGAAGCTGTTCCAAAGCTGCCGGCGGAGGCTCGCGTCAGTTGCAGGGGCTGGACATCACGTGCGCTGCGCACCGCACTCACGAAAGCCGACTCGACTCGAACTCGACTTCCGAGCCCAACACGAACTCTACACCCGAACCAAGCTCGAACTCGTGGGTACATCGGCTCACTGCCCTCCCAAACTACGGGGGCGAGCGACAGAGCGGGCCGGGCCGCCGGGGGGGGGGGGGGGGGGCTACTCAGCCGCGACGTACCTTACTGGTGATGAACATCTCCCGCCGGGCGGGGCTGCCCAAACGCGACGCACCTTGCTGGTAATGAACACCTCCTCCCTCTTGCAGGTGCCGTCCTCGAATTTGTTCTTGAACGCCTCACCGATCTCCTTCTCGTTGCCGTAGACCATGGCGCAGTCGATGTGGCGGTAGCCCAGCGTCAGGGCCGTCTCCACAGCCTCGCGCACCTTGCCCGGCTGTGACTGCGGGGAGGTACGGTCACCAGTCAGCGGGCGGCACAGCGCGGTCGCGGTCCCGCACACAGCGGCGGCACGGGTCAGACCTGCTGGCGGTACGGTCACCAGTCAGCAGGCGGCGCAGCGCGGTCGCGGTCCAGCACACAGCGGCGGCACGGGTCAGGCCTGCTGGCGGTACGGTCACCAGTCAGCAGGCGGCGCAGCGCGGTCGCGGTCCCGCACACAGCGGCGGCACGGGTCAGGCCTGCTGGCGGTGCGGTCACCAGTCAGCGGGCAGCGCAGCGCAGTCGCGGAGCCGCACACAGCGGCGGCACGGGTCAGGCCTGCTGGCGGTGCGGTCACCAGTCAGCGGGCGGCACAGCGCGATCACAGGCCCGTAGACAGAGCGGCGGCATGGGTCAGGGCACCTGGCCTCGCTGCTGCAGGCGGAGAGTGTCGGGCCGGACGGTGAGGTGGGAGCGGGTTGGTCGCGCGAGCTCGAGTAGCGGGGAAGCGAGGTCCGGGACCGTAGTAGTGAGGCCCGGCGCGACAGGTCACAACAGTAGGGCGAGGAATGTAACCGAGAGCTCGGCAACTTACAGCTGGCTGACCGCCAGTTTTGGCGGATTAGACCGTCGCTCGCTTCCTTACATCTTTGCAACGGACCACCGGCGCACGTCCACCACCATGGCGACTGGCACCGCGGATGATCCTACTCTGTTTGCGGCAGGCGATAGCTCGACTAATACCTTGCTGGTAACCAGACTCGAGCCCGATACATTTCGGTCATGATTTGAGTGCTGCCTACAACTGTGCATTCGCTTCCGCAGTCTGCCGAGAGGTGGGCGTAGAACTAGCTCTGTTCCAGCTGCCCTAGCTCTTTAGGCCTAGTTCTGTCGTCGTTGTTATATACAGGGGCCGCCTCCGCGCCACTGCCTTCTGAAGGGTAACATCCTTCCGTAAAACACGTGACGACACGAGATCATGGGAACCCTGATCGCCACTGAGTGGCCGGACTAGATCAAATGGCGCATGTATTTGGGTGCAGGCATTCCGAAAATAAATAACATCATATGAAATAAAATGTAAAAAGTGTCCATACACCACAATATAAACCAATAACAATATCAATATCAATATCAATATCAATATATATATATATATATATATATATATATATATATATATATATATATATATATATATATATATAGTTCTGTGGGCCAGCAAAAAACATCCACGCCGGGTTTTCTATCAGTGGAAATCAAACTAATGTGCCAAGGACAGGGACTGCATAAACATGCCTTGGGCCTTTTGGGCATTATTCCAATGGGCTTGGCAAATGAGATCAATCATTTTTGCCATCACCTCACCCATCCCCAGCTCAAATGACATCTTACCGATGCATAGCAAAGTTCGATCGAAAATTGGTTTATATGTAAACGAAGAACCCAAACAAATGAATTGCACACAGGGGCGTCACCGCGACCTTTGTAGGTCGTGGACAAGCCTGAAAAGGTCTTCATGGTGGACTTGCGTTACAAAACAGCTTGCAAATGCATTACGATTTTGACATGTACGCAAATGCTTCGTTACCTTTTACTTCACGATGCGCATATTTCATTGAGACCTCCAGGATGGCGAAATAAGTGACGTTCCCTGGCATTCAACGTTGTCTTTTCCTAAACCGGAGGTGGCTTATCCTACTCAGTGTTTACTCCGTGGCCCTTGGGTGCCGTACAATTCTTCCTCGGCATTACCAACAAGGAATGATGCTATGGCTACAAAAATTTACGCACCATGCATAACAGGTATTGCCGGAATTGCGCGTGCAAAACGACGTGATCAAAATAAAACATCCGCACAAACGCGGGCTGGCGACTTGCGTATAGGACGAGATGTGACAGGAGGAGCGGTAACTGATATGCATAAGAAACTGCGATACGAAGAACTACGCACATCAGGCAATGCTCATCAAGGAACGCGCATCTGCGAGCTGGAGCACCACGAAATATGCCCACGAAATTCTGCACATGTGAAATTTTCCGACATCACGGCTTGTCGGTAAGAGGATTTGGGTCCATACAAAGCCTTGCGATACCAAGGTTCCAGCACGAATAAATGCCACACAAAGGTGCAAAACGAAGCTTGCACGGACATTTCGCGATACAAATATTTGCGTCCGAAGACATGCGATAAGAAGATTTGTCCGATAGCCTCACTATATATATATATATATATATATATATATATATATATATATATATACATACACAAACATCACCCTGTCATGCATTGCAATCTACGCTGACTGTCAGTTTTGCCATGTGTTAGGATCCATCGTGATTCCCGCAAGACAGCCTTACGCCACCGTTCGAAACACATAGTTTACCTGCTCTGGACGATGTAGGCTCACCGACCAAACAAATAGCGTGGCAGACCTCCACCTGACTCGGACTTGGAGACAATTGAACATTTATACGAATTAACTTTCAGTAAGTGGTAGACAGCCAGTACAAAAAAGGGCTCTAGAGGGACACAACTTTGATCATGCCTGTATGTTACAGCAGAGCCTTCTCCAGTTAAGGGAGCTTACCGATGTCGATTTGTATTTTGGTGAGAACCCTGCCCCAATGCTGAGTTGGCCCCCCAATGTTAGATGGGCCCTACATTTTTGGCTGGAATATTTAAAAAAAACGTAGGAAAGTGCTGACCATTACACATATACCATCTTTGATCCTTCGTCTTAGTGGCGTCGCTATGAAAGGTGTAACTGGGTAACTTGTACTCGCAACCTTAATGAGATATACTCAGTTAAGGGGTAACTTTAGATATCGGGGTAAACCATGCTATAATTTGATTGCTTTTTTGTATTGTCCGTTAAGTGTAAGCCCAGACGCCTTTCCCCGCAACTGAACGTGATATTGACGCCACTGGTTCTTCGGTCTCGCGGAGACTCTCTTATTCCCAGCGACATTTGGTCCTCTACCAGTGGTAGGCTATGAGCCGAACAATGCTTAACGTTAAGATGAGACCCCCATTGCGTTGCTGTTGGGTCTCATGAGAGAACAAAACGCAACGAAAGCAAACGCATAAGCAAAGGCTTCGGAGGATTATGCAGTAGAATAGTACATCGTGCAGATTGTGGCGAAAATTCATGGATGTACTCGCGGGCTTGGTCACGATAGACAGCCCGCGCTGCGCAAGGGTTTGAACGCAGGGGCATTGGATAGCTCCCCACCAGTGACCATAATACAGCATTGAGCACATAAGTACACCATAGCTGACATTGGACTCCTTCCGATATGAACTGTTCTGTGGTGTGCCTCAAGTCCTGCGTATTCCCACTTCCACTAGTCTGGAAGGCCCAATGGCAGTTTATAACCTTGCTCTTCAAAGGCTTGTGCATTTCGATTCTTGACGCCATCAATGGACCCGGAACAGGGCACCGTTGGCCTGTCCGGTTCAGACGCCCATGCCCCTCCAAACACCAACACGCATGACGGGCCGGCGGCCTTGGCGATGGGCGGAGCTCCGCGCCCGTCCCGAGGTCGTGAGGCCCCGATAACGCATAGCGCCGGCGCGACGCCGCTGTCGCTAGGGGCCGACCGGCGTCCCCTCCCCATCCCCGCGCGCGGCGCAGGAACCTCTGGCACGGCTCGGGACAGGCTTGGCGCTATGGGAGAGCAGGGCGGCGCAGCGCCTGAATCGTAACAGCTGGCGGGAGACGTGCAGAGCTCAGACAAGAGGACGAGAAAAGCTGCATCAGTCCAGTTAAACACGGGGCCTGTTACGAGGAGACGCCTCCAGACTCCGCCGCGCCTCAGACACGCACTTATGCGACTGTGCTTCACGAGGAGCGCAACGCCCCAAAACCGGCACACCACGCGCAGCTTTAGACCCACAGCGGGCGCTTCCCAGCGCCGTGCGACGCGGGAATCGTATCCGTAGCCCTCCTCGAATCTGCCGTAATGCTCGCTGTAAAGGCGAGCCTGATTTGAAACGGAACGTTCTGCGTGTTGGTCGTGTGCTGAAGTATTAGTAACTCGATCTTTATTGGGCCCCGTGTTGCGATTTGATCATATTTGCGTAAACTGGCAAAGCAGGCGTGACGGCTCCAGTATTACGCCATGCGTATGATGTAACATCCCACCGAGCTGAACCCGTGGCATGCCGTCAAAGTCTACCGAGCTGAAGCCGTAGTATAATGTGACATTCCACCCAGCTGAAGCCGTAGTATGATGCAACATTCCATCAAGCTGAAGCCGTAGTATAATGTAGCATTCCACCGAGCTGAAGCCGTACTATGATGTAACATTTCATCGAGCTGAAGCCGCGGGCTTGCTGCTCATCAGCAAAGTGAATGCAGAACAACACAGTAAAGTTAAAGCTTACTACCACGCGCCCAAGCTATGCAGCAGCTTCGCTGCCACAGCCTGCCCAATTAGCCTTGCCTCGCCGCCTCCTGACGCGTGCCCTGATGCGCTCTGTGCTGTGTGATCGCTGTCAAGTCGAATCTCTCGACCGGAGGTCCGGGGAGGGTCCGGCGGCATTCCGTGCCGACCTTCAGACAAACGCCGGCCATTTGTCGCGCCACGTCGCGACGGGCCCGGCGCAGCCACGTGGGGCCGGCGGGCGCGGCGGCGGCCCCACCCGGAGCGTGACACCGCATAGCGGCGCACCGGGCGGCGTGTGCTTACGAGCACGCCGCCACTGCCGCACGCCCTCTAGCATGTTAACTAGGGAGGGGGGGGGGGGGGGGGGGCCGGGGGGCTCAGTCTCACCGGTGAAGTTTCTAGTTCTCTTCCCCTCTACACACTCAGTCGGGGCAAAATCGTGCCAATGGGTGGACTAAGAAGTCATATGAGGATGTGTTCCGTTTATTTCGATAGATTTCCTGCAGTTTTTCCTCCAAGAACAATACAATATCGTGAAACGTTTAAACAAACCAAAGCGACATCACAATTGTTTTACAACTACGTTCGTTGTGCAGTGCATTTGCGAGCAACACCATGCATTTAGATAAGACAGTGGCAATAGTCTTATTCCTCGTAGAGAAGTCAGGAGGATGGAGAAGTAGATGCGTTGATATTTCGGCAACGCGCCTTCATCGAAACGAATAACAGAAGTAAATTCACTTCTGCTATTGAAATTTACTTCTGCCATTCGCTTCGATAAAGGCATGTGGCCGAAATATCAACGCACCTCTACCGTCCTGGTTTACTACGAGGAATACGGCTATTACTACTGTCTTATATACAAGTGGCTTATGTTCGAGCCGAAGTGGGGCTATGCAGATCTCCCCCAGTCAGGGCCAACTTGGCAGTCTTTAAAGGCTCTGGGTCGCGGCCGCGTCTTCCCGGTTGGCCCACTTGGTAGAACACGGGAGTCGCGATCAGAACACCTGGCTCGAACCCCCAAATTCAAAAAGGAAATGCGCACTGTGACGCGTACGCGAATGGAAACGAAACATCAACGTCTTTCCCAGCAACTTAAACCTTACAACGGCCGGAGAGTTCAGTGGCTAGCACGCTACTTCACTGCGAACGCATCAAATGAGGACAACAGTCAGAATATGCGCTCCATCCGTCACATCGTATCAGACCGTCGTGATCTGACTGGCCAGTCAGGTCACACGGCGACACGTACCTTCCAGGTTCCGAGCCCGAACATGGGCATCTCGTGGCCGGAGCCCAGCTTGACGGAAGGGAAGGCAGGCTGCGGAGGCGGCGTCATGGTGAGCTGCAACAGAGACCACACCGCGCTGATGATGCCGCCGATCCCGCGAACACGGACGTCTGTATAAGGCAAGGCCAGGTCGCCGACCAATAACCGACATCCGCAAACAACGGTGGCCGTGGCACATGGGCATAGCCTCGTTAACTAGTTTGGTACGCTGGACGGGAATGCAGGGTTAACTCTGCCCCTTAAATACACGAAAGGCGGGCTTCACTCTGGATTAAACCCACCTTCCTCTCAGGCTTTGGGTCGGAGCCTCCCACCCCGAGGCAAGACCGATGTCAACAACTTTCGATAGGGGGGGGGGGGAGGATGCGAGGTCCAGAACAATCACAACACTTGAATAAAAATGGGTGAGTAATCAAGCGCGTAACAACTGGCTTTCTCGTAAATGATCACTGGCATACAAATTGTCATGTGCCTTGCGCATCATCACCGTGAGGCATGGGATGAGGAAACCGGGGACGGGGCAGAGGCTGAAACCCACAACTTTCTGAAAACTTAACATTGGCCCTGTCGGCGTGACTGGAAAGAAATAATTTTCTTATATCTCATCTTTCATAATTACAATCCATCATCCCCTCGCCCTCCTAACGCCATAGCACATCTGGTGCCCCATGCCAGCGGATAAACCTTATCGCAGTTTCGTAGCCTATTGGCACAGTGCATATTTTCCAGACCAACTGGCCACATGATTTATCAGATGACTGTCATATATAAATGCGTGTGTGTGTACAGTGGCAACAACTTCACAATAGATATTTCACGTATTTTCAACTCGCAGCTACACAAGGCCTAGACACCTGATTCCAAGCGCTTTTTGATGTGCCATAAAATCACAATAAAAAGCGTGTTGCTTCGCATCTGCCACGCACCCAGTTCCCATCAACTGACCCATAACTCTACAGAGCGACTCTCAGCGTTGATTATGCGGAGCTAGCGAAGTCGTTAACATTTCCTGCTCATTGGATGGTGACGTCACAAAACCACAAAACCACTGCCAACACAACATACTTGGATAAAACGCTATGAGGCCTGACGGGACTGGACGGGACCATGGCCAACCAAACGAGACCGGATGAAACCACACCAGACGGGATCGGATGGCACCGGATGATACTTTATGGCACCAGCTGGGACCGCGCAGGAACGGACGGGACCGGGCGGGACCGGACGGGACCGGACGAACAGAACTGGACCAGCCAGAAGCGGACAGAATCAGAAGCGACCTGATAAAGCTGAACGTTACCAGACCGGAACAGCCGTGGGCGGACGGCATTAGATGAAGAGGACCGCACCGGACGTGACCGAATGGAGCCGAAAACTTCAGAACGGAACCAGACGAAACAGGATGAACATGGTGACGCCGGATGGGACCACAGGAACCAGACGGGACAAGACGGGGCTGGACGGAAAGGGGTGGATTTGGACGAGACATTATGGGATCAGATGGTCCCGGGCGAGACCTAGGACCGTGCGGGACTAGATAGAACCTGACAGGAGCAGACAGGACCTGACGCAATAAGACAGGATGAGACGGGGTCGGAAGGCAAGGGACGAGACCAAGGGCGCGTTCAGCCAACGGAAAACTATTCAACGAATAATCATCTCTCCGATAATCATCCGCGGAGATTCCCCATTTTTACTGGGCCGGTCCAGAAATTATCTCCCAGATTAGTCTCCCATGCGCCATCCGCAGCCAACGGTCATAGCTATGCATAGCGAAAACAGATTCTCCGTCTTGACCATGCTCTGAAAGTTCTCCGCGATTCTCTCTCGCTACGGAAAATTATCTGGAATAGCTTTCCATGACGGCAGTGTCAAACGCCATTCAATAAAATTTTCCAACATTCCGAATAATTTTCCGAGATTATCTGCCGGCCGAACGCGCCCCAAAAGGAACCCGACGGGACAGAACAGGGTCCGTCAGGGCAGGATCAGAATCCACCGGGACAAGACCGCCCGTCTGGCCCCGTATGGCCTCTTCCGGCTCCACGTGACGTCGTCCGATTCTATACGGTCCCGAGCAGCATCGTATGGTCCAGTCCGATACCGCACTGTTTGGCCTGGTCCCATTCCGCTCCGTCCAAACCTTTCCCATTCTGTTTAAACCCAGTAAGCCTCATCCCGCCCCATCCGTTTCCGTCCGGGACACGGTTTTCTTCGTTTTGTTGCTATTTTTACTTTACAACCAGAACAGGAACAGGAGCTAACGTCAGATCAATTCTGTTTGTATTTTGAAGTTAATAGACTGCAAAAATCAGGCGTTCAACGACCGCGTGAAATAAATCACCGGCGCCTTTCATTTACAATGGTTTTGTTGACTCTTTCTGAAACGATAGAACTCGGAAGCTTTGTTTGAATTTTTATCCGGGCTGTTAAGAGATTAAGGACATCGCGAAGGTACATTGTAGATCGATATGTCTGATCGAAATTTGAATATGAAAATTTGATTGTAGATCGAGTGGTCCACAATGTGCATTAACATGATCAAGCCATGCTTGGCTGGAAACGTTCAACATCCAGTCAGACTCGATTAGTGATGCAATTCATGTAACATGTTTTTTAACATGCGCGCTCTCAAATCTTGGCGACAAGAACCTCCACTTCAAGCGTTGCAGTCTCCGTAGTCCGCGGAGCATTAGTGTAGCGGCTAACTTTTAGTTGTGGTCCATCGGTGGACGAAAATGATGACACTTCTGAAAAAGCTATCGTAGACACTTGCATCCATTAGTGTCACCAGTTATGCTGACATAATTTTGAGCATGCGCACGCTGCAAATCTTGGCAACAAAAACCTCGACGCCAAGCATCGCAGTCGCCCCGGGCCGCGCAGCGTCGGCCCAACAGCAAATATTAAGCCGTGACCAACGGGTATTCAAAAATGATGACGTTTTTGAGAGAAGTACCTGGGACACTTCGGAACGTCAAATCTTGCATTTAGAAGGCCGTCTGGGCGCATATTTCACGTGCGCGATTTTAGACTGACTGATAAGAATGAATTGGCACTTAAAGCACCACAAAGCGATGCTGGAATCTAGCGGGGGGAATGGAAGTAGTAAAGGAACAATCTTTATTTTTTCGTGTTCTGTAGTTATTAATCCGTCCAGAAGACATATCACCACGGCGCCCGCCGTCTGGTGACACTTGCAGTGGCTGATTGCCGTTCGGTTTCACGAGAAGCCGTAACCCAGGCCATCACTGTCCTCGCACTCGAGGTTGCATGCGGACATGTTCCACACATGTCGACGTAATTTGTTTTTACTCATCCATTCTTTAAGAAATCGGCGTTCTCAGGCTAACATGGATGGCCTTGTTTGTTTTTTGTAGCTCATCTCAATGCGCTCTATCCAACAGGAATGAGGCTTCCACTTTACTCAACAAAACTGAGACCCCTTATTTCCTTCCAGGCGAGGGCCCTTGAGTAGAACACCCGGAGCACATAACATTACACGGGGCACATTAACGTTTCAGGTCAAGGGCTGGAGGGTCATTCCGTCCTATCACAAAGTGCTTTCTAGCTCTCATTTTGGTGACACGGGGCGAGATCTCGTGATCGATCCGGAGGTCATTGGAAGGATATATCATAACAAAATGTTCCCCTCCCTGACACGGTAGACCTTCTGACCCGCGAAGTCGGCCCTGGATGAGCACAACAACCCTCACAGACGCAGCAACATCCCTGATCGCCGCAGGGGTCCTATAATTGTCGCATAGACTCGGGTTTCAATTTTTTGTGTTCTTCAGTGATATTGAGGACTCACTGAACGTAGATTGTAGGTGAAATGAGGGTCCCAAATTTGTATTAGCATAGCTAATCCATGTTCGTCTTAAAATTTTCAAGATTCAGTCACAATTGATCACTGATAAAAAATATGTAACATGGTTTAAACATGCAAGCCCGCGTCACAGCAATAGCCCCGATGCCCGGCGTTGCAGTCTCCATAGGCCGCGCGGCGTCGGCCCTGTCGGCTGTAACATTAAGCAGTGGCCAATGAGCAACCGAAAAACATAACGCGTCTTGAGGAAGATGACTGGTAAACTAGGGAAATTGGCATGTATGTTTAATGTAGTGCAAAAGTAAGGAAACACAACCTTAATCTGAAAAGTGGGAGGGGGGGGGGGCGGTTAACGCTGCTGCCCCCCCCCCACCTTGAAAAGTGGGGGGGTCGTGGCCCCCTGCCCCCCCCCCCCCCCCCCTGTTCCTACGTCCATGGTCATCCACATCGCACCGTAGAGGATAAAGACACAGTTCACTTAGCAATAACGTCTTCATTAGTTGGCACGCGTGTGCACGAACCAGACTTCTCAACAACAGCACTGGCGGTGCGAAAACACGGCTTAGAGGCCATTGCCGGTATTTCTGGTCTACGACGGCATATAAGCAGACTTATGATACAAATAGCATGATTTTCCATTACACCATTCTTGAGAATCAATCCATCGTCCTGTTTTCAAGAGAATCGCATGACTGGCAGTTGGAATCCATTGTTTTTGAAACTTTAAAAGTGACGTCTGCTTCTAGAGTATCTTCTGGAAGCATGCCAGGTGGGCGCGACAGAATGTCTGGTGGCAGAAGCCCTGGCCACCAACAGGCTTCAGACGGAACTCACCTGTACTGGTGTGCAATGAACTTTTTTGTGATGAAGTGTCAGCCACGCACGCCAGCACCGAGAGCCTCCCAAATACCTCAGGCCGGGTTTCAGGACGATGCTCATGGATGCCCTGCGACGCCCGCTGGTACATGGCACAGCCAATGAGCGGCGACCTTTTTGCGTTAAGCCGCATTCGCACCTATGACGTCACAAAACGCCAAGGTAGTCACGTATCTTGGCATTTAAGGGATCGATAATGCACTGGTAGCACGAAATATTAGACTCGCGCTTGGGAATAGCAACGCGGGAACCTCTGAAAAAGCGATTGCCGTGGGGTCACCAACTTAGTCCGGAGAGCAAAGTTATCTTTTTATCATGGCTGACCTGGATATTTCTGGATAGCGTGGATCTCATTACTGCTTCAGCTCCTGGCCTGACTGATGGCGGGGCCTAGCATCAGCGTGCAGCTCCTGGTTGGGAAGGTGCCGACGGTATTGCAGTTGACTCACGTCATCCGCCATTCTTTCTTCTGGTTGCTTGATTTTGTATCATCGAGTAGCCCTTGCTCTGATACGGGGTCGATATGGCCCCTCTAGGGTTTCTGAGGATCCATATCCGGTATGTTGTGCAGTCGCGCCCAAATTTTCAGTAGCACGTGTGGCAGCCATTGCGTGGGTTTTGATACATCAAACGTGTTCATAACATTTCTGGTTTCGGATCAGCGGCGATTTTTGAGGGACGCTGCACGGCGATCTATAGCCTGGGCGGGCGGCAACCGACAATACCTGGGAACGAGCGCGGCGGGACCATATTGTTACATTTTTAGGGGCCGTAGATTTTGACCATATGCTTAAAACACCTAAAACTGTATACTATGTACTAGCAATTTGACAAATAACACTCTTGTTTAGGTTTTGTATCGCTGTTAAGTATGGTATCGTAGATATGAACATGTAAAACTGAAAAAGTGCGATTTTTTGGAAGACTTACCATTGATCTGGGGTGGTGGGGTTATTACCAAGCGTGAAATCTCGTTCGAAACGAACCCACTGGTGTTTTCCACCCGGCTCTCCGTTCGTTACCTTGTAAACAGCAGGGAGGTCGAACCCCTCCTCCCCCCCTTCCCCATCAGGTCCGTAATTTGAAAAGCGACGAGTTGGGGCGAGGGTAAATGGACCGGGGTAGGCGTACACATCATCCAAGAGTAGCCCAGAGTTCCCCTGGCGGGGGGGGGGGAGGGGGCTCTCCGAGTGCCGAACACAAACCCTGAACAGGTGCCCCTGTACGGGCCTTGCATCAGTGGATGGAAATGCAGCTGCGTTTGGTTCTGCCCCATCGTTGTCCACTCCCCTTTATCTCATAGCTCTGGGACGTTCATTGCTTGCCGGAAGGGTTCTAATCCACGCAACTTAAACAACCCGAACAGTTGCTCTCTGTTGAAACTGTAGGGTGAGATCCATCTGTTTCTTGGCTGCGGTCAGGACAGCACGCAGAGTTTCACAAGCGAAATGTTCGACCTTGAAGGCAGCAACAATGTTTTCTAGTCTATCATTTTTGTCAGCACACCCAAGAGGCGTCACGGACCTAGTGACCTCGGGGTCACGAGCCCGCGAAGGCCAGCGTACTAAGTTGTGCTGTCGGAGTCGTGAGCAGCAGCTGTGTTGTGACACTATGTATACCAGGTCCTGTCCTAGACCCTCTTCTGCTTCACACATAACATGAGCGTAACGGCTGAGTGGTTAGCTCGTCGGATTCCCTCGTGGGGGTCGCCAGGGCCCATGAGCGCTAATATGTCAATGCGGGCGCTTGCACTCCATAAAATGGACGTGGTGACGTATTCGCGTTGCCTTTAATAATAGAAGATGTAACACGGCTCGCCGACTCGTGCCTCAGAGACAGACTGATCGGACGCGTCTGCACACCGACCGCTGCCCCGGGACAGGTTGATCGGACGCGTCTGCACACCGACCGCTGCCCCGGGACATATGATCGGACGCGTCTGCACACCGACTGCTGCCCCGGGAGGTTGATCGGACGCGTCTGCACATGACCGCTGCCCGGGACAGATTGATCGGACGCGTCTGCACACCGACCGCTGCCCCGGGACAGATTGATCGGACGCGTCTGCACACTGGCCGCTGCCCGGGACAGATTGATCGGACGCGTCCTGCACACCGACCGCTGCCCCGGGACAGGTCGATCGGACGCGTCTGCACACGACCGCCGCCCCGGGAAGTTGATCGGACGCGTCTGCACACCGACCGCTGCCCCGGGACAGGTTGATCGGACGCGTCTGCATGTAAAGGTCCGATCTTTAGGCGCGATCGGGGCTCCGATGTGACCCGAACGATAACAGCAGTTGGACACGAGTGATAAAACTTCAGGCACAAACGATTATATTGTATCTTAATCAGTTTAGTGTGAGAATCTCTGGTGTCATAGTGTTATCTTTTTACAGCGTTTATCACTCAAAGTGAGCCATGAGCATAGCAAAGGTCAAGTTATGTCTCATGTTTACCTTGCCCTTTCACAGCGTGGTGAACACATTACGTGCTACATGAACACAATCAATAGTGCAGTTATAATGAGCACACAGTGAGGGGTAAGTTATACCAATGATGTTCATCCAGGTGGGCTCGTCTTTTTATCATAGACTCGTGCTATGGCTATGGAAAAAGAAGTGAATTACCAAACGTGAAAAACTGTTGCCTGGCTTTTAAAAAAATTCTTAGATAGTAGATGGAGTTTGGATGCTGATCACGAGGGTGCATATCATTTTGAGCCACATTAAAAAATAACGCCAGGAGATCTCGAGGTCTACGAAGTTCAAGGTAGTTAAAATTAGACCCCCACGACTTCTTCAAGCCCATGTAAATGGTAGTGCTTGACATGCTTATTACATTTGGCCATCTTGTTGCTCGTTGCATTAAAGCTGTGACCGACAGGTCTCCAATGCCTAAGGTTGATCAGGACGCAGGGGTACAGGTCACTGAACGTGTACCCTCACCATTCATCTGAAACTTGTATCAATGGTAGATTTACCTTTTGAGTACTATGGCGTAACTTGTTATTTGAATGTCACTGATTGTCGATTAGGGAATTGTTCGTAGTAATCTCCTCGTTCAAAGCAACGACACACATCACTTCCCGTCACTTTGAAAGTTATTGGTTGTAAAGGCCATACAAATATATTGCTTGCGGAACACGCACAATTTTTTCCCCAACCTTTGTTTCCATCGGTCTTTGGAATTCTCGCGACAAAGGAACGTGTTGTTTACCAACACTTCTGAAATTCACGAACTGCACAGATGTATGTCATGGTAGCCACCGGTAAACTGCCGCATTCATCTTCATATTTATTACATTCGAGCACTGACCCCTACAATTTTTCTCAAGTGCAATCATGATCACTTTGATTTGTAATAGCGCTTCGGCCGATGTGACGATTTCGCTCTGTGCTGTTGTGTCGACGGGTAAAATGAAACAATAGAAAGGGGACACGCCTAGCAGAGCACCACTAGCCCGATGCGGTGACTGCCAAACCTATTCAGCTAATATATTATAAAGCTAGCGCCTGTCAGGAAAGTAGACCACGTTAAAAGGAGTGTCCCACTTTTGGAGCATATTTCAAAACCATCCTCTGCTGAAACCTCAGGACTAGTTGCGTATAATAATAGCTCTGGGTAGTAGCACTGCGGTACCGTCAAGACACATTACGGATATAAATTTTTATGATTTTCGAGTCCCAATTACATTGCAAATGTGTTTTGTAGCAGAACAATCCTTCCCTGCAGTCGCGACCAACGCGTCATGACAATCACCATGCGCACCTCTACCGAAAAGAACTTTGTTCTTTTCGGTAGAAGTGCGCTAAACGTGCCCGCTGAAATTTTTGTGCAGCGTGCAAGGGTCTGTTACCGAGGAGCACATTGGTTGCAGTTTGAACAAGTGCGTCGCGGGGATTATGTGATACTCACGTTCCCAAAGCCAACGGGCGCTCCGAAAAGAGCCGCTGTCGTAAACGCCTTAGTAAGAAATAAAAAAAACATAGCATAACGCTTTACTGAGTTTGTGAGATAATATTTTCCTGTTCGCATATCGGTTTGGCTGAACAATTTTTCAAACTTCCGAATATTGCACGAACATCTTGACAAATTAATGTGTTCCAAACATTGCAGGACACACATTGGAAAAAGCGTAGCAAGCAAAATATATTGCTTTCATATTGGTGAGCAGGGAGTCAAATGAGATTTCTCCTGTATGGCTACTTCAAGCAGAAATTCTGAACAATTCAGAAGGATTTCGAGAAAGCTGGCATAACTTATCAAATCATACGCATCCGATGTAACAATAGGTGAAAAATACAAAAAGGTGGGATGTTTCATTTGCGTCCAACCGCAGCTTAGAGTTTCGTCATGACAGAACGTTCAAACTCGGAAAGTAACCTATCAGCGGCATCAGTGTCGTCCAACCGCAGCTTAGAGCTTCGTAATGACAGAACGTCCAAACTCGGAATGTAACCTATCAGCGGCATCAGTGTCTCGTGATGTCCGAGGAATCTCTGTCTCTGAGAGCTGAATAATGTGCAGTCAACAAGCGTGTATTTTGCAGTCAACATGTGTCCACACCGTTTACATGTGGGGACATCCGCTGTGCCGTTCAGTCAGGATCTGTGGGTGCCCTACATGGGACCAATGCGGAGACAGGTCGGAATGAGTTTGCCTTTTTTGACCTTCCGGAAAGACAACTCCCAGTCCCCTATCTTGAATTTGATGGCTTTCAACTTGTTTCTTCTGCGTTCCTCGCCCCACAGCTTTTGCCAGTCAGTCAGGATATAGCTCCCTGTAATAGCGTGGAGGTCACTGTCGGGAGACCGATCGTTCTCATTTGGGGAAGGCAGTGCCGCAGCCTGCATTGCCCGATCAGGCGATCATTGCCAGCCAGACCGGGCCTTGCGAGCCCTGGTTTAACCGTCAGAGGCTACATGCACCGATGTTCCATGTCACTTATTTTTGTAACGTTGCAAACGTTATCCGAAACCTATTTCCACTCAACTTAAGTGTGCTCAGCTTTCAAGATAACATTAGTCTATTATTATGGTGCTTCGTTTGACAAAGGCAAGACAAACTTAACATCGGTCACCCAATGTCACTACGGGGCACATACGTATCCTGCGTGCCTTGCGGTCCTTCTTTTCATTCGGTGGAATAGTTCTGCTTCGGCGTCGGAACAGCGGGACGGAGTACTGCATGTTTAAGGGTTTCTTTCCAATCTGGCATCGTCCTGCCAAGAGGGTCGCAATCTTGGCACAATATTAACCGACATGGGCATATTTGCTCATTACTACAAAGGCAATCTGCGAGATGACTCCTAGAATAGTTTGTTAACGGAAAATTTAAACAGTAAACATGCCCGATTATGATGTTATTTATTTACAATGTTAATTGAAAGAATGTACAAGAAATTCCGCAGCCAAGAACGATACAATATTTTTTTATGATGTATTACGTCACTTATCCTAAGTGATAAGGACTACCACTAAACCCGACCAAACCAGTATTCGTCTCATGTGCGGCATAGACCAATATTGATGTTTATTTTGATCCGATTTCCAGTCGGACGTGCAAATGTATGGGGGTGGGCGTTGCGTGGGTCAATGATCATTTTGTTTGGCTTTTAAGCGCCTGTAAAGAGAGGGGAGCTGAGAAAGCTGTCTGAAGCGGGGTAAGAAAACCTTGATGCCAGCGTAGGAATTACAATGTCACTGAGAGGACTGGTTAGAATGGATTGCTGCCTCAAGATGGTGTTCATTGCTTGGATTGACGAATCTCGCATTAGTTGTACATTGTTGCATTGAAGAAATAAAACAATGCATTAATTACTTGTTGGGGAGCTTCCTGCACTGTTGAAATGCAACCATACATTGAATATAAAAACCAAAATAAATACAACCAAATACATAGTATTTGGTGGCAGGCACATCCAGGGCCCACCATGGTGATTGGTTAAATGTTGGTTGATATGTGGTATGTGCAATATGACAATAAATATTATTTGCAATGGTTCCATGATTCAGAATTGATCACTGAAAAAACATGGAAGTGCACCCCATTTGCATATTTTTGTTATAGGACATATTTTCTCTATGAGGCCAGATTTTAATATATTTGTTAAAGAAAATCAATGCAGCAGACCAAATATGCTGATAATTATAGTTATGCAGTTATGTTATGTCTGCAATATGGAATAATAATTGCATGAAAATAACATGATTTAAACTGTTCACCTGCAATCAGAAGTGGTTACCATGCTCATCTTAAAATCAGGGCAGAGGCTAGGGTCATTTGGCAGAGGGAAATTTGTTTGACAAAGTTATCTTTGATAATCATCTATTAAGATTGTTCAGTTATGTTAGCAGGTCTAAAAATTATCTCCCTTGTTTCAGCTCTCATGCTCTGTGCACATCCAATGGTTGCACCTATGTATGGCATAGAAAGATACTCAGTTTGGCTTTGCTTTGAAAGTTATCTGTTTTTCATCCTCTGTATGGATAATTTACTGTAGCAATTCTCACAGATACCTATTTGCACTACTTCTTGGTGCTGGCATTGACAAATTTTCAAACACTTTAGATAATTGTCTGAAATTATCTGCTGGCCGAGCATGTGTATGACGTGAATGTGTGTTTAAGGTTATGTCTTTCTAATGATCTGTGACGTTACTGGGAAATGAAACTAGATGGCTATGCAAGTGATGTAACATAACATAACATTATCTTATGCAGCCTAATTTAAATTGGCCCTAAACCACAAATCCTGTGACATGTATGTCATTCCTCGGTGCTAGAATGGATTGATGCTTACAGTAACCTTGTTCTTTTCTCAGTTGAGCCTGGGTCTGAAATGAGTAAAATGTAACTACTTTATTAAGGATACAATTGCAGCATACCTCTTCATGCCTCAGGCAAAAGTAAGGAGATGTGCATCCTAGATAAGCTAATGATGAGTAAAACAGCTGGCTGAGTAGGTCTCAATGTCAACAACTAAATCTAGTATCTTTGGAAGCCTGGCCTGGTTGTTTAATCATGTCTAATCATGCACCCATTACTGAGCATTTTTAGGGATTGAAGTGAAATCTGGATGACCCAGTGACTCATCAGCATGGTCATGGCAATTCATTTGGTCTGTGTGCAAGGGATGCACCAATGAATCCTCTGGCTTTGAATCAGGCAACACAGTACTAACAAGACACAAAATGGAATGCGCTTATCAGCTCCACATGGTTTCCGGATGAACCGCTTGACACAGGCTGACCTGAACAACCCCACCAAAAGCAGTTATGCTTCACCACAGTCTTCCGCCCGCAGCTCCGATGCAGACCACCACGCCAGCTGCCGTGTCCGCGGCGATGGATGGCGAGCCCAGCGGAGCTGCCTGCGCTGTACGGATGGTCGATCACCGACACACTACCGTACGGCTCGCGCTCAACGGCACTGGTAAGGCCCAGGCAGCAGCAGTAGTCACGGCGGTGTGCTCAGCGCTAGGAGAGTCTGCACTGGTGAGGCCCAGGCAACAGCAGTAGTCACGGCGTTGTGTTCAGCGCTGGGAGAGTCTGCACTGGTAAGGCCCAGGCAACAGCAAGTAGTCACGGCGTTGTGTTCAGCGCTGGGAGAGTCTGCACTGGTAAGGCCCAGGCCGGCAGCAGTAGTCACGGCGGTGTGTTCAGCGCTGGGAGAGTCTGCACTGGTAAGGCCCAGGCAACAGCAGTAGTCACGGCGGTGTCTTCAGCGCTGGGAGAGTCTGCACTGGTAAGGCCCAGGCAACAGCAGTAGTCACGGCGGTGTGTTCAGCGCTGGGGGGGTCTGCACTGGTGAGGCCCAGGCGGAAGCAGTAGTCACGGCGGTGTGTTCAGCGCTGGGGGAGGGGGGGGGGGGGGGGGGGGGGGGTCTGCCCTGGTGAGGCCCAGGCGGCAGCAGTAGTCCACGGCGTGTGTTTCAGCGCTGGGGGAGTCTGCACTAGCGCGATGGGCTGTATGGAGTAGGCTATTGATAATGGGTTCCAGGCCCGGCTTTCAGTCTGCCCGGTCGGCGGATAACGGGCGCGGCCGGCCGTGTTTATGCCTAAGGGCCATTGACCACGTGACCTGGCCGAGGTCGCTTGTGCGGGCCTGAGTGGCCGCAGACTGGAGGTAGGGACGGCCGGGTGTCGCCTGGAGTTGAAGTGAGAGCGACTGTAATACAAAGGACCAAGGAACATTTACGTGATGTGGTGCCACCTTTGTGGGATGATTTTCGCCATCAGTGGGTGCATGGTTTGCAAGGTCATTTGCTGTCTCGCGGCATTGTGTTTAAGGCTCATTGTATCGTCTCTTGACCTTGAGACTTGTTTCCTCGGCTCATGAATTATTGTTTTGGTCGGTTGTAGTGAAAAACTCCTGAGTCGTGTCCCCTGAATGAGTCGCGAATAAAATCGCGGGCTAATCCAATCTGAGGCTGAGGATGATGGCGCTGGAAGAGCTGTGATTATTTGCATGGTCCCTTCAATCCAGCTCATTATTAGGGTCGCACTCAGGTGACATGGCCACGGCGCACAGTACACAAGGAGAAGCATGTGACATATGCCTGACGCGTCCGGGGCTGGGTCGGTGGAGCAAGCGGGGCTGTTGTGAGCTCGCCTCTCTGGTCTGTGTTCGGAGCGGTCTCCTGCAGCACTGGCGGCACGCGACCGGGTGTGCTCTTCTGACCCGACCCTGCCCTCGGTCGCAGTGCTCGACCCCGACTGCTGCGGTGCCGGCTGGCAGGTGTCCAGCAGCACGTGGTGGTGGTTCGGCTGCATCATGCTCATCGTGTGCGCCCTGATGGTGGCCACCCTCAAGTATTGCAGGTGAGCGGCCGGGTGCCGCACGTGCTGGCCTGGTCCGGTCAGCCGGTCGGCCCGCTCGCTCTGGCTTCGGGGAGGTGTGCTTATGACGCTCGTCACCGGTGCATGCGGCCGTAAAGAACAAGCACAACAGTACCGTGCCACTGCAGCTTCATTTTAAGCGTGTTAAACGCGACTGAATATTAAAAGCGGTGATCGACATTGACCAAAGTTCCTGAAGAGGTGAGGGCTGTGTCGTTTTTGCGATTGCGTTCTGATTGGTACATATGATTCCAGACGCGACCGTTTTTAGGCGAATCAAATCCAGCAGTTTATATGATATCATATTTGTATCCAACAGTTTATGTGCTCAGTACCAACAATACGGTCAAGGTAGATTGATGAGCGCCGACGGAGCCCATGCAAGTTCGTTGTTTTGAACGTGGTGCCATCTGTTGCCAGCAAACTGGCGAGTGATCCCGACGCCGTGGCGCGGCACAAGCAAGCCATCTACGAACTGGTCCACGGTGAGTGAACGTCGCCAGGCGGCTGCCCTCCCAGATGGCTGACAGCAGAAAGGTGCTCAGAGACAAACTGATACTCAGAAGTCCGGTGGATGTTGTTTATGTCGTTTCTGTCGACCAGCACAACTTTGGTGTGACGGGAATGATTAGATATTGTGGAGGCCGCTGCATTGCCATTTCGGGATGCAGTTGCCATTTTAGAATAGCATTTTGCTCATCTCAAAACAATGAAGGCGATTGAGCGACCTGTACTTGATGCCACTTGCATTGCGATAGAAACGGTGTCAGATCACGCTATGGACAGTTTGTGCCCGACCTTTATGTGAGACACTTCCGTTTTGTAACGATGGTTCGATGTTTTCATTCTGCTACTAGGTCACGGCTGAAGATTGGTAAGCCTCGACCACAGTGTGCCGTGGCTCTTCTGTTTTAGTTTTGTTTGCTGACGGATCACTAATCGTAGAGTCAAATCCATTTATCTTCCTTGGCTGTCCAAAGCATGCTCAGATGCACGTTTGTGTTGTGCATGTGATTGGTTTGATTTTTGTGCGGCTTATTTTTTTATTGACAATGACTGTCTAATATTACCGATTTTTCGGTTGTTGCATGACACGCACGACTAAAGCAGCTTGCCTATGTTTGGCACTGGACCATTTTTGTCTACCAGCTAGCCAGACACAAAAGCTCGTACAATCCAGTTGACTGCTTCAATGAAGTGGGAGGAGGGGGGGGGGGGGGGGGAGGAGGGTCACAGCAAACATGTGTCGGAGGCATGGTAGGTCGAATGGACTCAGGAGCCCTGTTGCTGTACCTTGCGACACGAACCCACGACACGAACCCACGATACGAAACCACGACACGAAACCACGACACGAACCCACGACACGAACCCACGACGCGAACCCACGACACGAACCCACGACACGGACCCACGGCAATTTCCGCGTTGTGCTCGTACTGAAATTAACCGACTTTTCGCTGGAAATAGCATGGTCAGTATCTACAGGTCAATTTTTGAGAGATGCTTCCTTGAAAAATAAGTATTCATTGTTTCTTAGATAGTACGCCAAGTATTTGATGCTACGAGCGACTTAACAATACATACCAGTAAGACGCCGCGTTAAGCAGCGTAGTACGAGCGGGCCGTTAGCAGGCGAATTCTATCGCCATACATTCAGTTCCAAAACTTACCTCATGTGCTATCAATGCACTGCCACGTTTTTTCTTCTAAGGTTTAGTAGGCAGATTTTGGTTTAATTTAGTAGGTGGATGTGCGCTGATGTGTTCCGTCCGTCCACAAATTAGCCTACGCTCTGATGCGGGGCGAGGGAGGGAGGGGGGGGGGGGGGGTTGACATGACCCCCCGAGGTTTTCTGAGGATATGCCATGTTGTGTTATCACGTCCAAAGTTGTGTGACCTTTGGCGCATTCATTATTTTGCGCATGCTCTTGCGCGTGTTGTTTTGGGCGTTATTTACCTAGGAACATAAAACTTCGTCACCGACCCTAACAACCAGTATCTGGATAACGGCTGCCCGGCCGGGTGACGCATTGCCCTGACGTCACTGCCCCGGCGGGTGACGTACTGCCCAGGCGTCACTGCCCGGCCGGGTGACGCACTGCCCTGGCGTCACTGCCCCGGCCGGGTGACGCACCGCCCTGGCGTCACTGCCCCGGCCGGGTGACGCACCGCCCTGGCGTCACTGCCCGGCCGGATGACACGCTGCCGCAGCAGTGATTTCCCAACTTCCCGCCTTCCAAATTCACGGTTCCCATCATCCCAGCGTCATCCTGCGGGCCGCGGCTCGGTTTTTGCCAGTAATGTGATATCTTTCGGTTGTATTAAGATGGAACGCAGGACAATTATTTCTCCTAAATGCCGGGTCGTATTCAAGAACAATCAAGATGATGGGGTGAATCGAGGGTAAAAATTGCGGGCCAGCATACACCGCCACCCTTGCCCTTGCCCTTATGGAGGCCCTGCGCGCCACCCCAGGCTTATGTAAACCCCGTAGCCAGCGTGCGAGGAAGCCAGGTGCACCCAGAGAGCTTCGGCGAACTTTTCTGCTGCACCTCATTCCGCCTGGCGCTGAATCAGGTCTTTGTTAAATGTCGTGCCAACAGATGCTGAAAGCCAACAAAGCTTCGTTCGACGCTCCTTGTTATTTGAAGAAGCGGATGTTGGTGAGTGCCTCACACAGACCGATTTCCGGGGACCGTGGCTGAACGGGTCGGAGTGTTTGTTCGCCGCGCGCCTGGGCTTCTGAGGGTCTTTCGCGCGCCGCTGGCTCGTGTCAAGGACAGCTGGGAGTCCGCGTGTTCTGCCTGTGATCTGCGGGCCCGGCCGGCGGTGCCGCGTGGTGCTACGTCGATCATCGCCGGAGATGCCGGCCCCTGCTGAAAAGCTGGTGTGATGAGTGGGCCTGCGGTGACGGGCGCAGGCTGGAGCCGTCCACTACAAACGCTCGGTTCTTCCCCGCCACGAAACCGGAGAAGGTTTCAGTGTTTATCAACGGGAGGCACTTTTTAGAATGTCCCATGCGTAAGCTGCTGCATGACGGAGTCTAGATGCTGGGCGGCGCGTTACTGTCGCGGTGGCATACACGCACGTATTCCGTTACCAACTGGAACCGCCGCCCGCCGGCCGGCTTATTCCGGTTGGTTGTTCCTATGCGATCGGACTGCGGGCGATCACTTCTCGGCACCGTTGCGTCGTCTCGCTGCGCGCTTGGTTAAGGCGGGATCGACTCTGTAAATGCCACCTTTTTAGCCTGAAGACCTATCTGTCATACTGCACGCCTTACGCTATCAAAGTCCCTCGCTGCAGTCTGTCACAGACTCGAAAGCAAATACCAGCCGCCCAGCGTGAAGAACGGTCTGTCAAACGGCACGCGACGCACTGCCAAAATCCTCGCTGCGATGCGTCGCCGGCTGAAGTACAGTGTGAAGAGCCGGCGGCGCAAAGGGGTGAAGACCCGCAAACTGCGGCACCCACTGCGGGCGAGCGACGTGACTGTCACCAAACGCGGCGGGCTAAGAAAACACTCGTGAAGTTTCATTGTACTTGTGGGCCAAACAGGAGCTGGTGGTGCGCAACCGTGTCTAGATTGGTGGCGAAATACACATATAAACGGCAGGCAAACGGGCAGGGCTGAGTTTTCCACGTAACTCACCACATGCATGCCGAGCCTTTTTAAGAATCGCACTCCGCCTGTACGCACGAACCGCCATGTTGCGCCAAAGGTCCCACCGGGCTGTCCACGCGATCCCATCGGCGCTGCCCACGTGCCTGCGACTCCAGCCGCTGCCGCACCGGCCGGCAGCTCGGCTCGAGGCAGTTGGCGGCCGCCAGTCTGCGGCCCGCCCCCTCGGCGCCGCTGCGGCCGCCGCTCGGCGATCCCAGCCTCGGCCCGGGCTATTAGCCGGCTCAGGTGGGGTCATGTAGGCGGCTGATTGGTTCTACGCGTCAGCAGCTTTGACGCGCTGCGCCCCGCATCCCCCCGCCTCGCCCCGCCCCTCCCCGCCCCTCCCGCCCCGCCCCGCCCCGCCCCGCCCCGCCCCGCTGCCGCCGTTGTCCGAAAGTGCAGCGGATGACCGCGTTGGAAACGAGTGTATGGCGAGATGGTGACAACAGCGTCTCAGTGGAAATCATTCAGTTGCTATGCTTTTTGGTTTAAAAGTGCGTATCCGTTAATGCTGTTGGGAAGTAGATCATGACGAACAGAATATTTTCTGTCAGGGCACTGGTTGTAGGTTGGACACAGTTATCCAGTGATTGACGGCAGTCGTAGAGTCTTGCGTGGTTGAGTTTACCGTTATTTCATGTGCCATGAGTTGTCATGCCGCCATCTCAAGCATCACAAGTTGTCATGAAATTTGCACATGCATCGGGCTACTTTGGCATATCAGTCAGCTCTCAGCGAATAATGGGCACAGCGCCGTTTAGACTGCGCTGTTGTCTCGTCCCATCACTTCAGTTGGAAGGCCAATCGTCGGGCGTGCGAGGGTGATTAATCACCTGTCCCGGGCGGGAACGGGCAGGACTTTTGCGGCCCAGGGCCGGCAGTAGTAAGGGTAGGAAAGGTGTGTCGCCTCCTTTTCCGTGTTCTCTTCCCACACCCTACCCACCTGGTGATGGCGAACACGTCAAACTCCTGCCGCTAACTTTCCTTCCATCCACCAGCCTACAGGCCAGTGATATTAGAGGCTGAAGGTAATTTGTCTACTCTCGATATTAATCTGACATCAAATTGCTGATTGTAAATTAGTCATCTAATTGCAATGCTGGTGGATGTTATGACGCAGTTAGTCGCAAAGCAGAAATGAAGGTCGCGGTAGAAATATCACACCACAGGTGTAGGCTCCAGCTTGGCTCGCCCATATCACATCAGTGAACACAAGAAAATCTGTTTCCCTGATGTAAAGCCGTTTGAGGAAAAAAAATAAACTAAAGGGCATCTCTGATGTTAGTGACCATCATAGCGCACGTGTCAGTCTACTACTGTCGGTTGTTACAGAGGCTTCTCATGTGTAAACAACGTGTACCTAGTTTCGCGTGTTGAAGTTGTGTATGCTATGCCTGCGTGGCGCGGGTGTGCCGGCCAGCATACAATCTTCACTGCTGGCTGAGCCGAGGCAGCTGGCGCCTATCAGATGGGCCTGCGCTGTGCGCCGACGGGGCGGACGAGAGAGCGCGTGCCGCCAGCAATGAGCCGCACAGCGTGAGGCGCCGGAGTCCCGCTGGGGCAGCGGGTCTCCGCTTCAGATCAGAGCCGCGGCGGCCGGAGACAATCTAGATCGGCAGTTGATGAGGTGACGCTTCAGAGCCGCGGCGGCCGGAGACAATCTAGGTCGGCAGTTAATGAGGTGGCGCTTCAGAGCCGCGGCGGCCGGAGACAATCTAGGCCGGCAGTTGATGAAGTGGCGCTTCAGAGCCGCGGCGGCCGGAGACAATCTAGGCCGGCAGTTTGATGAGGTGGCGCTTCAGAGCCGCCGCGGCCGGAGACAATCTAGATCGGCAGTTGATGAGGTGACGCTTCAGAGCCGCGGCGGCCGGAGACAATCTAGGCCGGCAGTTGATGAGGTGACGCTTCAGAGCCGCGGCGGCCGGAGATAATCTAGGCCGGCAGTTGATGAGGTGACGCTTCAGAGCCGCAGCGGCCGGAGACAATCTAGATCGGCAGTTGATGAGGTGACGCTTCAGAGCCGCGGCGGCCGGAGACAGTCTAGGCCGGCAGTTGATGAGGTGGATGAGGCTTCTGTACTGCATGGGACGGTCGTTCTATTGATCAAAGCGTTTTCTGGGAAATGGACCAACGTGGTGAACCAGTGAACCAGAACTATTAACCAGTGTGCTGATGAACACGCTTCCTTGTATACCTAATATGTATCC